GCTTATAGGGTGGCTAGTAGCGGTTGTTGGACTTGCAGGGTTTGCTGGGCCTGTGGGGTTCATCTGGGGCTTGAAGGGTTTGTAGGGTCAATGGGGTTTGCTGTTTAGGATCCAGGGTTTGTAGGGCTTGCAGGTTACAGCGAGCATGTGTTTCGGGTTGAGTTCATAGGGCTTGCCGGGTTCATAGGACGTATCTGAGGTTCGTTTTGAGTCTGGTTTATAGGAATGTTTGCAAAGTTCAAGGTCCAGGGTTTGAACGCTAATCTTGGAAACCTGTAGCCCAACCCATGACAGTCCATTCAGAACCTTCGAGAACATGCTTTCAAAGCACATCACGCGCACGATCAGTCCCTACACCCTACACCGTACGCTCTAAACCCCAAACCCCAAACCCCAAACCCCAAACCCTAAACCCTAAACCCTAAACCCTAAACCCTAAACCCTAAACCCTATGTTAGGTCCTTCAGGGCCGAGGCTGGTGACTGCAGCAACCTTTGGGGACGAACTGAACCTCAAACGGTTTATGGGCCATAGGCTGTAAGAAACAGCAGGGGTTATGGTGGCGTTGGTTCCACGGCTTCGGGGTTTAGGGGTTTGGGGTTTAGGCCCTAAACTTTAGGGGCTTAGGGTGTAGGGTTTCGGGTTCAACCCATCTTTGTCGGGAAACCCTAAATCCGAAACCCTAAACCCTAAACCCGAAACCCTAAACCCTAAACCCTAAGCCCTTGTGCCCAAAAGGAAATTGCACAAGAGGCCCTGAGGCCACCGGAGGTTGTAAAGTGGCCGATCGCGCCGGGTCATGGCTTTGGCTTTCAGAAGCCCTCCTAGTTACCTTGGGGATCAGCGTTTAGGGTTTAGGGTTTAGGGTTTAGGGTTTAGGGTTTAGGGTTTAGGGTTTAGGGGATGCGGTTTGGGGTTTGGGGTTTGGAGTTTGCTCGCGTTATTTCGCCACAAACTCCAAGCGTAAGACCTATAAGTTTAATCCCCAAGGTATCAGGCGTGCAGTGTGGCGCCCGCCAAAACAGTTCACTCGAACACCAGCTCATGGCGTCCTGCAGCTTAGGATGATCGTTCAGGCCACTTGCAGCACCCTAAACCCTAAACCCTAAACCTTAAACCTTAAACCCTAAACCCTAGACCCTAAATCCTAGACCCTCAACCCTAGACCCTCAACCCTAGACCCTAAACCCTAAACCCTAGACCCTGACCTGCAGGGTTTGGGGGTTTAGGGTTTCGGGTTTAGGGTTTAGGGTTTCGGGTTTAGGGTTTAGGGTTTAGGGTTTAGGGTTTCAGGATCCGGGGCCCGATTCTTTGGGGTCCTCGCCCAGTCCCTTGGAAAGCCCAGCTAGTGCGGAGATGATGGTCTAGGGTTTAGGGTTTAGGGTTTAGGGTTTAGGGTTTAGGGTTTAGGGTTTAGGGTTTAGGGTTTAGGGTTTAGGGTTTAGGGTTTAGGGTTTAGGAAATTAGGGTTTCGGGTTTAGGGTTTAGGGTTTAGGGTTTAGGGTTTAGGGTTTAGGGTTTAGGGTTTAAGCCACCACTAGGATGCCCAGTAGTACCCTTATTCCCTTTTTGGGGGGGTTTAGGTTCCCTTATAAGCCCCTTTTTGGGGGGTTTAGGTTCCCTTATAAGCCCCTTTTTGGGGGGGGGTTTTAGGTTCCCTTATAAGCCCCTTTAAGCAAAAAAACGGGCACCCTTTTTTATCCTAGGTTACTGGGCAGCCTAGTGGTTTAGGTGTCGGGTTACCTAATTACCTCCCTAAAAACCACGCCCCAAACCTACTTGGAGGTTCACGGGTTCGTACAAGTAGGGTTATAAGTACACCACACTAGACAAGGTTAAAACCATTATTACCCTCCCTTTAAGTACCCATGCACCTCCAAGTACTACAATAAATACACCGAGGGTTATTCCCCCCGTCCCAATATGACGTGCAGTTGGTTACCAGGGTCAAAGTTTGTTGACCACCGGTGTTTTGCGAGCCTTACCTTTTGCTTTTGCCGCCGCGCTGCATTTATTTTCCACGCGTTTTCCCTGGCTCGATGTACAGTGCAGTGTCCGTGTCCTCGAAGGCTCAGTACCTGGGGTGGAGAACTTTGGGCCCCGTAGCACTTCACATCTGAAGCGAAAGGCCTTAACACAAGTTTGAGGGTTTGGGTCTTTTGGTGCAGGGTGCAGGGCTTACGCCCTAGGCCCACAAGTTCTGAACCTCGCAGGCTTGGGGACACTGCTACGTGGAGTTTTAGCCAGCCGTTTGCAAGAAAAGATTGGGCCTTTGGGGCTTCAGGGGTTTAAGGTTCAGGGTTTAGGGTGAGAACATCAGATTCGCAGCTTTTGTTTTCATCCTTCGGCGTGTCAGTGTATCATGCGAGGGCTGTCACCACTTCAAGGCGGTCTTTCTTGACATTCTCTTTGGGGAACTTCCGGCAACATGCGGTACCGTTCTGGCTATCTTGGGAAGATACCAACCCCCTGTTTATGCGGGCACTGTCATGTTTTGTTGTCAATAGTGAAGAATAGGTCCGTTCTTCTGGTGACGGTTGTGTATGGACTGCAAGCATGCAAGGGTTGTAGGTCAGCGCGGCACTGTTTCTCACAGACCCTGAGCGAGTTTAAGAAAAAACTGGGGCAACGAAAAAGACATGAACCCCAAACCCCAAACCCTAAAACCTAAAACTAAACCCCTAAACCCCAAAGCCTAAAACCCTAAACCCTGAACCCTAAACCCTAAACCCTCCCGCGCCTCGACCGCTCGACCGTGGAACGCTTCGTGCTGGTTTTGTCGGGGCTTATTGCTGTAGGCCATCAAGCCCTGAGCACCATCCACGACCCCAAGCCATGATTCCCACTGAACCCCGAAACTAAAACCCTAGACCCTGAACCCTGAACCCTGAACCCTAAACCCTAAACCCTAAACCCTAAACCCTAGCCCTAAACCCTAAACCCTAAACCCTAAACCGCCCCCAAAGCCTCCTCCGTCGCCTGGACATGGCTCTCTTCGACTGCGCGGATGCCGCGCGCTGGCAGGAGAGCCTTGCGCTGTATGAGGAGGTGCACTGGGCTTGTGCGCCTGGGGTTTAGCAGCCCTAAACCCTAGCCCTCCCTAAACTCTAAACCCCAAACCCTGAACCCTGAACCCTAAACCCTAGACCCTAAACGCTAGACCCTAAGCCCTAACCCCAAACCCTAAACCCTAAGTCCTCTACCCTGAGCCCTGAGCCCTAAACCCTCAACCCTCAACCCTGGTTTCGGGTTGGGGCTTGTCTGGAGCCAGGACCCTTCGAGCCCCTACAAACAAGCGGACCCCGTGGAGGGTTTAGGGTTGACCCCGTGGAGGGTTTAGGGTTAAGGGTTTAGGGTTTAGGGTTAAGGGTTTAGGGTTTAGGAACCCTAAACCCTAAACCCTAAACCCTAAACCCTAAACCCTAAACCCTAAACCCTATTTCAGAACCATCCCTCATGTTGGGGTTCAGGGTCTAAGGTTTAGGGCTTAGGGTTAAGGGAAATGCCCCATGCTTCCAGAATGCCCGGAAGACAGACAGGCAAAAGACCCACCCTAAACCCTAGTCAAACCCTCAACCCCGAACCATCCCTAAACCCTAAACCCTAAACCCTAAACCCTAAACCCTAAACCCTAAACCCTAAACCCTAAACCCTAAACCCTAAACCCTAAACCCTAAACCCTAAACCCTAAACCCTAAACCCTAAACCCTAAACCCTAAACCCTTAAACCTAAACCCTAAACCCTAAACCCTAAACCCTAAACCCTAAACCCTAAACCCTAAACCCTAAACCCTAAACCCTAAACCCTAAACCCTAAACCCTAAACCCTAAACCCTAAACCCTAAACCCTTAACCCTAAACCCTAAACCCTAAACCCATTCCAAAAACCAGGCCCATCCCGATGAACCCCACATCCTCGAAGTCGCAACAAGCGGGTTCCCGGGAGCAGCAAAGCCTCAAGAGCAAGCATAGCTCCTTCAAAGGATTTTGGATGTTCGGGAGTTTAGGGTATCCTAAACCCTAAACCCTAAACCCTAATTACACCCTAAACCCTAAACCCTAAACCCTAGGTTTATAAAGGGTACGAGGTGTGGACGGTGGGGTGGGGATGTTGGGAGCTTTGGGCGAAAAGAATTTATTGCAAAACGGGAGGCCGGGGCTTGTGTCATTTCGGCCTCACCTGGTTTGGAGGTGTTTGGGGTTCATAGGGTTTATAGGGTTTATAGGGTGATATAGGGTGTATAGGGTTTACAGGGTTTATAGGGTTTATAGGGTTTATAGAGTTTTTAGGGTTTATTGGGTTGCTGGGGTTGATGGGTTGATAGGGTTTAGGGTTGATGCTGCAGGGCCCAGAGCTCCCATGCGTTGCAAGGCCCTGCAGCAAGTGGCAAGCCGAAAGAAGGACCTCTGCCAGGGATCTGTTTTAGTTCGGCCGGTTCAGGGTTTCAGGGTTCAGGGTTTGGGGTTTAGGGCTAGGGTTTAGGGTTTAGTTTAGGGTTTAGGGTTTAGGGCTTAGGGTGCGTAGCCGTCTCCCCACAGTGCATCTACCCTGGGGTTTGGATGGACAAGGAGCTATAGGGTCCGAGTCCTTAAGGGAGGTCTAGGGTTTAGGGTTTAGGGGTACGTAACCCTAAACCCTAAACCCTAAACCCTAACCCCTAACCCCTAAACCCTAAACCCTAAACCCTAAACCCTACTATATACTCCCTAGGACTCCACAAGCTTCCCGAAGCTTCGTTAAGGTTCCCGAGGTACCCCCCCTTAAGGACCCTGTACCCATTCAGGTACTCTAGGGGTCTATTCCATGACTTGAGGGTATAGATGTGTAGGAGTTGATGGTGAGAATTTGGTACCTTTGCAGCCTTGAACGATCTCGATTCGCAGCTTCTTCAGCTCTGTGCACTACTGCCCTTTTCGCTTGCGGAGTAGGGTTTTGGAGCTTAGGGGTGTGTAGGGCTTCATGGCCGAAATCGGTTCTTAGTGGCCTCTCCCATTAGGAAATGCTGCCATCGTCTTCGCTGCGCACCGGCTGCCGGCGCATGGCGGCCATAGCCCTCCCAACCCGAGTCTTGTCATCACCTTCCGCCGTGCACCGGCGCTGCCTCTGGATGGCTCGCTGCCTCTTCCAGCCAAAACGAGCCCTCAGCACGCAGCCATCGATACCTTCGATGCCCCAGCCCAGGATCTTGATCGTCAATCCCAACACGAGCTCCGACTTCACGGAGAAGATCCGGGACGCGGGCCGCGCCGCAGCAGCTGCGGCCGGCGCGGTGGTGGATGCCGTGCAGCCCGCGGAGGGGCCGGAAAGCATCGAGTCGGTGTACGAGGAGCTGCTGTCGTCTCCGCCCACGCTGCGCATAATGCGGGAGCGAGAAACGGAGTGCGACGCCATGGTGCTCGCGTGCTTCAGCGACCACCCGGCGCTGCACGCCGCCCGGGAGTGCCTGCGAGTACCCGTGGTGGGCCTCCTCGACGCGTCGGTGCTCACGGGGCTGCTGCTCGGGGACCGCGTCAGCATCGTCTCCACGTCGGCCACCTGGAGGCCCCTCCTGCGCAAGGGCTGCGAAGCGCTCCTCGGCGGCAACAGCGCGCGGCTCGCCTCCGTCCGGACCATCGACCTCCCCGTGCTCGCTCTCGAGGGCGCGCCTCGACAGCAGGGAGCACCAGCAGAATCCGCGGGCGGCGCATACGGCGTTGACGAGGCCATCGAGCGGATTTGCGCCGAGGCCAAGCAGGCGGTGGAAGGGGACGGCGCGGACGTGATCGTGCTGGGCTGTGCTGGCATGGCGGGCTTGAGGGCCCGCGTGGAATGCGCCGTGGGTGGAGGCGTGGACGGCGGGTCCTTGGTGGCCGTGGTGGAGCCAGTGGCGGCGGCGGTCGAGTGCGCAGCATCCTTGGCAAGACAACGCCTCTTCACTGCGAAGCGGTGCCTCTACTCCACGCCGAAGGAGCAGCGGCAACAGTAGAAAAAAACAGAGCAAGATACCAACATGCCTTCTACAGTGTCGTCCTTACACAGCTGTCTTGCTCTCAAGACACTCCAGTTTTTGGCTGGTGCATCGTGCATGCAGGAGACTCTTCCTCTGTTGGACACGATGAGTAACGTAGGGATGTGGCAAATAGATAATTCTATTGCCAGAAACGGCCCACCTAGAGCGAACTGACGATCATCAATCCTACACAAAAACGCCCTAAATCCTACCGCATTAGAATAGGAAATCGGGGACTTCGGCGCCTTGCATCGCCCCACAAAGCCCTTCCAAGGTTTCCCCACCGCACCTCGCGGACCTGGTTCCCCCCAAAAACCAGGATTCCACGAAGCTGCTGGCACTGGACAAGTGGTTCTACAATGCCAAGGCGCGTGACCCTGGCATGTCGGGCTTGATGGTGTCAAAGGTCGGTGAAGTCAAGGTTTTTAGGGTTTAGGGTTGAGGGTTTAGAGTCTAGAGTGCTTAGAGTTCAGGGTTCAGGGGGGCTTTCAGGACGTTTGGGGTGGAGTTGGGCAGCATTGGCTCCCTCACAGCCTGTTCTGATTGCAAGCGCTGCTGTGCAGACGAAAGGGCCGAGGACGCCAGCAACTAGGGTTCAGGATTTAGGGTTAAGGGCTTAGGGTTTAGGGATGGGTACAGGATGTCAAGGCTGGTCTGAAGGTAAAGGTTTGGTAGGGCTGTACCCAGGGCTGCACCCCTAAAGGGATGCCTTAGGTCAACTCCTGAGATGGCCTCCAATGCGTTTTTAAAAGGTTCAGGGCTTGGGGTTCGGGGTTCAGGGTTCAGGGTTCAGGGTTTAGGGTTTAGGGTTCAGGGTTTAGGGTTTAGGGTTTAGGGTTTAGGGTTTAGGGTTTAGGGCTTGGGGTTTAGGGTTAGAGGTTTCGATTCCCATATGTGAATACCACCAACCAAGAACAAGCTTTTGAGCTCTCATGGAGGGGGGGGGGGGGCTTGGGTTCAGGCCGATAACCCTAAACCCTAAACCCTAAACCCTAAACCCTAAACCCTAAACCCTAAACCCTAAACCCTAAACCCTAAACCCTAAACCCTAAACCCTAAACCCTAAACCCTAAACCCTAAACACCTCAGCCTTTGGAGGAGGCAAGAGAAGCGCCTGTGGACAAGGCCCAGCATCGCCAAACGACTCCGCACTTGAGGGGCCTAGGGAGTTTGTAGGGTTTCGGGGTGCAGGTCCCACACCCTAAACCCCAAACCCTAAACCCTAAACCCCAAACCTGGGCAAATTATAGCGAGCCCAGCGAGCTCAGCGAGGTAGGTTCGCGAAATAGCGATAAATTGGCGAGGTACACGGTGTGAATTAAGAGAGGGGGGGGGGGAGGAGGGGTGTCGGGCGGCGGTAGTGACCGGGGGTGGTTTCTTCAAATCTGCTGCAAATTCGCCAAACCCGGGGGTGGTTTCTTCAACCCTAAACCCGAAACCCTAAACCCTAAACCCTAAACCCTAAACCCCCATTTCCTAAACTGTCGAAACCCTAAGCCCTAAAGTTTCTGCTGCCCTTTTCGGGCCTTAGGGCTTACAAGGTCTACTTTTGTTAGTAAGGCTCCCTAAACCCCTAAAACTTCCACCCCGCTGCACCTGAACCAACCCTAAATGCAAATAAGCTTTCCCCTCACCCAGAAGTACACCCGAACCCTGCAAGGCCTACGTCTGCAAAGTGGCAGAGTGGAAGCTGTCGCGGGGCACTTTTCGACCCGGGCTGCTTCAGAAGGCCGCGAGTTTCGGGGTTGAGGGTTTAGGGTATAGCGGTGAGGGTTGAGGGTTGAGGGTTTGAGGGTTTGAGGGTTTGAGGGTTTGAGGGTTTGAGGGTTTGAGGGTTTGAGGGTTTGAGGGTTGGAGGGTTTGAGGGTTTGTGGGTTTGAGGGTTTGTGGGTTTGTGGGTTTGTGGGTTTGTGGGTTTGTGGGTTTGTGGGTTTGTGGGTTTGTGGGTTTGTGGGTTTGTGGGTTTGTGGGTTTGAGGGTTTGAGGGTTTGAGGGTTTGAGGGTTTGAGGGTTTGAGGGTTTGAGGGTTTGAGGGTTTGAGGGTTTGAGGGTTTGAGGGTTTGAGGGTTTGAGGGTTTACGGTTTTGGGGTTTAGAGGTTTGAGAGTTTACGGGCCGCGGTGTGGGGGGGGGGGGGGGGGGGGGGGGGGGGGGGGTTTAGGGTTTATGAATGGGGTCTAAGAAGGTTTCCCAGTAAGCTAGTATTGAAGAAGAAAGGGTACTTACAATTTTGGTTTAACGACAGTGATCGCAACCCTAGTAAAAGGATTGTACTGGGGAGCATGCGGCAACATGAGGTTACTTGCCTCAACCTACCCCGACACCGAAGCTCCACACGGCGCAAGCACGGTTTAGGGTTGTAGAATTAGGGTTTTGTAGGGGAATAAGATGAAGGGACCCTTCTAGACAGTAACCCCTAAACCCTAAACCCCAAACCCTAAACCCTAAACCCTAAACCCCCTAAACGTAGATTCGCTGCAGGCGCAGTCGAACTCTGAGGCAGCGGTGCAGAAAGCCTTAAAGAGCCTTGGCCCGGATCGAAGAGTCAAGGGCGCAGAGGCTCACGGGGTGTTTAGGGTTTTTAGGGTTTTTAGGGTTTATTAGGGTGTTTAGGGTGTTTAGGGTGTTTAGGGTGTTTAGGGTGTTTAGGGTTTTTAGGGTTTTTAGGGTGTTTAGGGTGTTTAGGGTTTTTAGGGTTTTTAGAGTTTTTAGGGTTTTTTGGGTTTTTAGGTTTTTTTGGGTTTTTAGGGTGTTTAGGGTTTTTAGGGTTTTTAGGGTTTTTAGGGTTTTGGGTTTAAGTCATGTTTTTGCGGCATGTGGTGAGAGTATCAGAAAGCACACATGATGTTGGCTTGCAGTGGTTTCATGGCCCCTGCCCCTGCCCCTGGAACACAACGCCCCTTACCCCTTTTGTTCAGGATCCATGCGGAGATGTCGTGTCAAAACCCGCGCCCGAATCCCGACCCACAACCTGGAATCCCAAACCCCAAAACCCCAAACCCTAAACCCTAAACCCCAAACCCTAAACCCTAACCCTAAACCCTAAGCCCTAAACCCTAAACCCCAAACCCCCAAACCCTAAACCCTAAACCCCAAACCTTAAACCCTAAACCCCAAACCCTAAACCATAAACCCTAAACCCTAAACCCTAAACCCTAAACCCTAAACCCTAAGCCCTAAACCCTAAACCCTAAACCCTAAACCCTGTCCTCCCAGGGCTGCGTCAGAGGTCATCGACGAGGATCCGGCAAAGGCCATAAAGGCGCTGGGGGTGGTGAGGGGGGGGGGGGGGGGGTTTAGGGTTTGGGGTTTGGGGTTTAGGGTTTAGGGTTTAGGGTTCCAGCGCGATCTGATCCAATTCCTATTTGGTCCGCCAGGCGTAGAAGTACCCATGATTCTGCAAGTGCCCCAAAACCTGAACCCCTAAACCCCCTAACCCCTCAAACCCTAAACTTTCAAACCTAGGCACCTCAAATCAGCTACCCTCCAGTTCGGACTCTCAGCCAACTTTAGGGTTTAGGGTTCAGGGTTAGGGTTTAGGGTTTAGGGTTTAGGGTTTAGGGTTTAGGGTTTGGGGTTTGGGGTTTGGGGTTTGGGGTTTGGGATTTGGGCGTAGCTTTCATCCGGAGGCCTTGGACACCACCTTGGCCGGAATTGGCCCGGCGACCGCCTCGGCCGTGCCCCACGGCGCGCGAAAGGGTTTAGGGTTTAGGGTTTTTACAGGTTTAGGGTTTAGGGTTTAGGGTTAAGGGTTTAGGGTTAGAGGGCTTGAGTTACGGAGTTGGGGCCCCGCAGAAAAGTCACCCAAGCTGATCAATCGGGGGGGTAATTGGCTTTGCTTTTGAGAGTACTCCAGCTAAGTGGTTTGGGGACTACGTTGAGCAAATTGACTTCATGAATCCCTAAACCCATAAACTCCCTAAGCCCCGAGATGCACGGGGTCTTTAGAGGTCATCGGGTTATTGAGTTTTGGGGTACATGACCCGCCTTCAGGTTCATAAAGCCCCCAAGGAAAGTACAGGGTTTAGGGTTTAGGGTTTAGGGTTTAGGGTTTAGGGTTTAGGGTTTAGGGTTAGGGTTTCGGCTTTTTGGGTTTCGTAGAGGGTGTGGGGCTTAGGGCGTTTTGGCTTTCGGGTTTAGGGCTTTGGGGCTACGGAGGGTTGTTCGGGTTTAGGGGAGATAATGTTCCATGCTCATAGCCCTATGCAGGTTGTGCCGGGCCTTCCCCACAAAGGTGGCCTTCATGTCGGATGAGGCGAGATCACCATGCTGCGGTTTAGGGTTTAGGGTTTCGGGTGTAGGGTTTAGGGTTTAGGCTAGGGTTAAGAGTCAAAGCTGCATTCCAAATCTGGGCTCTATAGCGTTTCGGCCTTATAGGGGCCAGGTGCGAAAGGACAGAAACCTGTTTTAATTTTGGGAAGAGCGAAGTCTGATGGGTTTAGGGTTTAGGGTTTAGGGTTTAGGGCTTGCTGTAAATGTGGCGCGGATGCTGTGAAGGTTAGGATGCAGCCACCCCAGGCCGTCCAAGGCGTACACTCAATAGTCAGTTGCCTGTAAGGGTTTAGGGTTTAGGGTTTAGGGTTTAGGGTTTAGGGTTAGGGTTTAGGGTTTAGGGTTTAGGGTTTAGGGTTTAGGGTTTAGGGTTTAGGGGTTAACACGCCTCTTCCGTTCCCGATTGGCATGCCAGCCAGTTTTCAAGCGGGTCCAGGCAGGGGAGGTCAGTCTTTCAGGCACCCCCTCCGCCTGCGCCCGCCACAGGCCCCCTGGTCTCTGGACCCTCAGCCCTAGGAAGTCAGAAGTCTGAGGGTTTCAGGGTTATAGGGTACCACGTGGCATCCCCTAAACCCTAAACCCTAAACCCTAAACCCTAAACCCTAAACCCTAAACCCTAAACCCTAAACCCTAAACCCCCCAACATCCTGAAGTCTAGAATGCCCTAAAGCGCCCCCCCCCCCCCCCCCCCCCAACGGCCCAAGGCGCCCTAAACTCTCAGCCCCCCAGCCTGCTCCCCAGGCCATGCTCGGGTGTGGTCTCTTCAGCAAGGCCTCAGAGACTAGGCTGTTCAGCAGGAATATTTGACGTTTTTTTGGTGTGGGGTTCCCTATCTTAGGTAAGTAGCCCAAAAAATATGTACTTTTTCCCCCCCGGGGAAACTGAAAAAAAACTTAGGAGATCAAGTACGACCTGAAGACCTTCGCGCGCTTTAACGAGACGGTGGCGTGGCTGCCTGTGGGCTTAGGGCTGACGGTTCAGAGCCTGGGGTTGAGCGTTTAAGGTTGAGAGTTTAAATTTGGGGTTAGTTTAAGGTTTAGAGTTTAAATTTGGGGTTAGTTTAAGGTTTGGAGTTTAAATTTGGGGTTAGCTTAAGGTTTAGAGTTTAGGCTTTTGGGTTTATGGTTTGGAGTTTAGGCTTTAGGGTTGAGGCCGCCTTTAGCGGAAGCGAACCCCAAAGGTGTCGGGTTTCTACAGTGACTCTAATGCGGACCAGGATTCAGTGGTGTTGCAAGGTTGCTGGGTTTTTGGGTTTTTTTTTTTTTTGGGGGGGGGGGGGGGGGGCGTTGAGGATGTTTCGGGCTTCGGGGGTCATCGACCTTCATGGGATTATCGTCGCATAGGGCATATGCTGGTCTATTTCGCCCCCGAGGTGCTGGAGGACTATAGGGGGTCATGTGATGAGCTCTCTAATGCTTGGTTCTATGTTTCGGCCTCTGCCCAAAAGGATTGGGTTTAGGGTTTTGGGTTGTAGTCTGTAACCAGTGTGCATCAACCCGACAGAGTCCGAAACCCTGTAAGCTCTACATAACTCACAAGCAACGCCGAAACGGGCTTAAGCCCGAAGCGCCTAAAGAAGTAGGTGAAGGGGGAGAAGCCCTGTAAGCCTTATAAACCCTAGACTAGGCCAGAAACCCTAAACCCTAAAACCCTAGAGGCCCTAGAAACCGATTATAGACCCTGTAAACCCTGGAAATCCTGGAAACCTTAGACACCTACGAACCTAAGACCCTAAACCCTACCAACCTAAACCTCTAAACCCTACAAACCCAAAACCCGAAGCACACCAAACACCCCAAACACCCTAAACACCTGAACCCCATGAACCCAAAACCCTAGAACCCTAAACGCCCTAAACCCCATGAACCCAAAACCCTAAATGCCCTGAACCTCATGAACCCAAAACCCTAAACACCTTCAACCCCATAACCCCTAAGCCGCCGGTAGTCCCACCCTGAACCTCATGAACCCAAAGCCCAAAACCCCTAAAACCCTAAACGCCCTGAACCACATGAACCCTAAGCCGCAGGTGCAGATGAAAGCGCAAGAGCTGGGCGCACCTTGGACAGGCGACACCGTGGCGAACCGCGGCTACTGCGAGCACGTTTTTCAGGTTGGGGGGTTAGGGTATAGGGGTTGTGGGTTTAGGGTTAGGGTTTAGGGTTTAAGGTTTAGGGTTTGGGGTTTGGGGTTTGGGGTTTGGAGTTTGGGGTTTGGGGTTTGGGGTTTAGGGTTTGGGGGGTTTAGGGTTTGGGGGGTTTAGGGTTTGGGGGGTTTAGGGTCTAGAGGGCACCAAGTTACATGCACGAAGCCCAAATATCCTTCGAACCCTCAGGCCCTGAATCCCAGATCCTGCATCTTTCATCCCTCAAGCTTATAAACCCCCACTTGTATCTCTAGGGCTTTGACAGGTTAGGGTTTAGGGTTTAGGGTTCAGGTTTTAGGTTTTAGGGTTTAGGGTTTAGGGTTTAGGGGGGTTTTGGGTGTAGGGTTTAGGGTTTAGGGGTTTTGGATACCAACCCTAAACGGTATAAGACTGCGTAGTCTAGCGCAGGCGCTGGAGAAGAGACGGGCGTAACCGTGGTCCCCCCCTCCCCCCAGGTCTCCCTCTTTCCCCTTCCTAAACCCTATACCCTAAACCCTTGAAACCCTAAACCCTGAAACCCCATGCCCTAAAACCCTAAACCTGAGAACCCTAGGCCCTAGACAGCATTATAACCCTAAACCCGAAGCCATAAAGCCCTACAACCCTAAAACCCAAAAGCCCGAAGACCAAAAACCCCAAACTCTTAACACACGCTTCATGACAAGCGTGCTCCTGAGTGGTGTTGGAGACGCGCTCCGCATGACCTTTTGGTGCGACGACGGGTCCACACTCCGGTCGTATGATGTCACCGCCCACTTGGCCAAAGGCTTGGTTTCCAGCTATGCCTGGCAACCTCCACCTCGGCGTCCTGTGCGAGCACCATGGCAAAGGCGAGGTCGACGCCATGTTTGCCCAGATGAAGGGATTGGCTTTTCTTCCCACAGCACCGCTTCTGGAAGTCATTATGCTTCACCAGATACCGGTGGGCAGATGAACGAATGCATCCCGGATGCCTGAAGACAAAGGGAACCTTGATGAAGACTCTGCTCTGAAACTCCCAGTTCAAAAACCCTAAACCCCGTAAACCTGGTAACCCTCTAAACACCCAAAACCTCCTAACCCCTTAAAACCCCTCTAAACCCCAAAGGCCCCTAAACCGCCTAAGCCTCCCCCTAGGGCCCCTTAAAGCCCCGAAGCCCCCCCCTAAACCCCAAACCCCAAACGCCAAACCCCAAACCCTAAACCCTAAACCCCAAACCCTAAACCCTAAACCATAAAATGAACCGCCAAGGAAGTCCGAACCCCCCCATTCCGCTCCCAGGAAGGCGCTTTGGGCGACCCGCACGCTGCAAAAGGACGCGGCCGCGCCCAAACCGGCTGCTGTGACGCAGGGTTTAGGGTTTAGGGGGTTTAGGGTTTAGGGCCAGGGTTTAGGGTTTAGGGTTTAGGGTTTAGGGTTTAGGGTTTTCGGGTTTCGGGTTTAGGGTTTAGGGTTTAGGGTTGAGGGATAGGGTTTAGGGTTTAGGGTTGTGGGTCGTAGGCAGGCTGTTGTAGCACCGTCCCACCCTTCAATGTTTTCTTTTCCGGTTGAGGGTTTAGGGTTCAGGGTTTGGGGTTTAGGGTTTAGGGTTTAGGATTTAGGGTTTAGGGTTTAGGGGTTAGGGTTCAGGGTTTGGGGTTTGGGGTTTGGATTCGGATATTCAAAGCTCCTACCCCCCCCCCCCTGCCAACAAAAATGCATACTCCCACTACATGAATGATAGAGGTGGGTGGCTGCAATTCAAGCTACAAGATGCATCAGGTTGAGGGTTCAGAGCCCTTAGTTTGGAACATGGTTTTTTAGCCACGGGGTTTAGGGTCTAGAGCCCGTCAGGAAGCTAACCTCATTGAACCTAATCCCCTTACCCTACTTCCTAAAGCCTCATTAACTCCGCAACTCTTACCCCTCGGTTTAACCTCAAACTCTAAACCCCGACAAAAAACCCTGATGAATCCCAAGTCCTTAAGTAAGCTTCCCTGAACCCTAAGCGTTAAACCCTTCGCCCAAACCTAGGCTTAGGTTTCTTTCGGGCAAGCCCAGGCCTGATTCCTTTGACCTGAACCAACCCAAGTTCTGAGGACCAAAGTTCAGGGTGGAACATGTTCTTGGGATTCCTAAACCCTAAACCCTAAACCCCGAACCCTGAACGCTAAACCCTATACCCCAAGCCCTAAACCCTAAGCCCTAAACCCTAATCACACACAAGCCCCGCAAGACGCTCTGAGGTCATGAAGGTGCCAGCGGCAAAAGTCTCTGGCTCTACAGGCGTCAAGAAAACCATTGCCAAGAATGGCAAAAAGTGAGCAACAGCGGCCCCAGTCTCTATGGGACGGTCTAAGGTTTGGGGTTTAAACCCTTGAAGCTACTTGCAGGTTCATGGATAATTATCAGTAGCGTTCTAAGTACCCGAGAATCGGGGTTCAAAGCATAGCTGTAGCTTGTTAAGACCTCCAAGTAAGGTTGCTGTTCTGGCCACCTGAACCTCATTGTGAAAGGATGCACCAAGTTCAAACCACTGTCTGGAACAACCCACGTGGCTCTGGGCATCTGCATAGCTTGACTGAGCTTTCGCGGTAAGCCGCTTGGAGGAAAAACGGCGCAGTCTTTGAGAGAAGCCGTGTGGGCCATGGGAGCCTTATGTAGGGCTTTCCGTGGAGAAGTGCACTGGCCTGCTGACTTGTGAGCCCTGCTTTTTAGGGTTTAGAAGGTAGGGTTATATTAAAGGCCCCTAGACTTAGACTGGCTGTTAACAAGTAAAGATCCGCAGGAACTGCTGCTTGGCTACTCTGCCAAACGCCTTACGCAGGGCCACTTGCTGAAGGCGAAGGGGGGCCACTTAACATGGTCCAGGTACGATTTAGGGTAGTATAGGGAATCGTCAGAGAGCCCAAATGCCCCCTTAAGTAAATTACAAGAACAACCCCATTATAGCCCAAAGAGTATTCCTTGATGAAGGGGCATTGGCTCTCTAGATATCTGGGAAGTCCCTTTCGGAGGTTTCCAAACATTAGGGCTTTTTTGGGGATCCTGTTCAGGGGCGCCCTAACCCCGAAACCCTAAACCCTGAAGGCACGATCTATGTTGAAACAGATGGACCATTGGGAAGAGAGCCCCTTACTAACAGATCCTTGCTAGTATGGGAGCCTACCTTATGGCGCAACTTAAACTATGTAGGATCAGGGCTTAGGGTTTAGGGTTTAGGGTTTCGGGTTTAGGGTGTTTTTGGCAGGCTTATCTTCTCTTGGCTCACTGGTTCCAGCAAGCAGCAGATGCAACGGAAAACCATGAGGGGCACGGTTTTCTGGCAGTGCAGGCAGGCTCCTTCTAGCGGCGAACAGAAGGCCAAGTCGTGAGAGATGTAGCCTGTGTTGGATTCAAACTCAAACTCAGTTGATTTGTATCGCACCACAGCCACCCCAGGAACACGAGTAGCGAGCTCCAGAATTGCAAGACACCTTCAAACTTCCTTTAAAACGCTGGGCGAGCAGCCTTCTAACATCTCCCGTCCCTGCAGCTTCACCACTGGACCCTCAAGCGTCGTCAACAACCCACACCCCCACAATCCACAGCCCCCCCCTTTGTGAAGCAGACCAGGATCCCTAGAACCTTCCCCTCCCCCCCACCCAAGCAGTGGTGCCCCGAGTAGGATTATAATAGGGGAGTGCTATAATCCCTACTAATTGCTAGTAATTAGAAAAAGGGGGAACGCCCCAACCCGAAAACCACCACCAAACCTCGACCCTCTGGCGATGGCGATGGCATCGCCGGCCATGGCCGCGGTGGAGAAGTCTCTTGGGGGCCAATTAAGAGGAGGTTTACGGGTTTGGGGTTTGGGGTTTAGGGTTTGGGGTTTAGGGTATTATTATTGAGGAGTATTATTGGCTAAACCCTAAACGAAAAACTGCCGTGCCTCTACTCTGCCTCGACTTCTGCCCGAACCCCGTTGAAACCCTCAAAAAGAAAATTTAAGGGCCACCATTCGAAATGTAGGAAAGGAGACATGTTCACACAAATGAAACAACCACTCCTGACGTGGAAAGCTGAAAAATCCTCAGGTTTTTCTCGAGTAAACTACCCTAAACCCTAAACCCTAAACCCTAAACCCTAAACCCTAAACCCTAAACCCTAAACCCTAAACCCTAAACCCTAAACCCTAAACCCTAAACCCTAAACCCTAAACCCTAAACTAGACCATCCTCTCCTCGGCTGTGCTTGCTCATGCTCCCCAACCTGGCCCATACAGGGTGGGGCCCCCTTACTATACAAACTGTAGTTAAGGGACTTATAACCTAACTTAGGGTCCTTATAACCCAATTTAGGGCCCTTATAACTCTACTTATAGCTAGGGGGCCCCACCCTGTACTCCCCGAACCTTCAACACAGAACTTCGAAGTTTCATGTCGAAAATCCCCCTAGCGGAAACCTGCGAAAACGTGCTTTATCGAGTAACACACGCATTTCCCCATAAATGCGCATGTCCCCATGACAGCGCGGGCAGATGCCCTGCCCTGTGCCAAGTTGCTGCGCCCCAGGTTTCTGGCCGAGAACCCAGTTGATGCGCCTTGGCACAGATATCAGGGCCCTAAGCCCTAAACCCTAAATCCTAAACCCTACACCCGAAACCCTAAACCCGAAACCCTAAACCCTAAACCCTAAACCCTAAACTTTAAATCCTAAACCCTGAGTTTGGGTTCTTGGTGTCTTCGGGTCTGGATCACTGGCGCCTGCCTTGAGGAACGCGCCGCCGCGGCCCTGCGCAATGCGGCGCCGGACGTGCAGCTCCAGGAGCTGATTTTGTGGGGGATTTGGGGACCCCAAACCCTAAACCCTAAACCCTAAACCCTAAACCCTAAACCCTAAACCCTAAACCCTAAACCTTAAACCCTAAACCCTAAACCCTAACCCTAAACCCTAAACCCTAAAAAGCGATTTGGGGTTTCGGGTTGGGATGTTCCCCCTTATACTGACAGTCCTTAATCGGGATTATAGTAACCCCTATTATAATCCCCAGTGAGGACTGTTCGTATCAGGGGGGAACATCCCAAGTTTCGGGTCTGGGGCTGCAGCTGGGGAGTAGGGGTTCAGGGTGGCTGTTGGGTTTAGGGTAGTGACTGGTTGCGGAGGATTTGGGGCTTCGGGGTTCCCAGGCTTTCGGGTTTTCAGGGCTTAGCTTGGGGCTGAGGAGTCGGGGTGGTGGTGTGAGAAGTGAGGCTTAAGTGGCTAGAATGCCGGGTTATACTGGCGAATAGGATCGCTAGAGTTTCCCAGAAAGTAACCCCCCTAAACCCTAAACCCTAAACCCTAAACCCTAAACCCTAAACCCTAAACCCTAAACCCTAAACTCTAAACCCTAAACCCTAAACCCCCACCTTTAGTCGTGTATTTTGTTTGGAGCTTGAGTTGTCTCGTGGCCGCAGATTGGAACTCTGAACTCGAAGCCCCAAGTAGCCTTAGACCCTACACCTTGGGATGGTCCCCTTTGTACTAACAGTCCTTCATAATCCCGCCCTAACCAAAAACCCTAAAACCCTAAAACCCTGAAACCCTGAAACCCTAAAACCCTAAAACCCTAAAACCCTAAAACCCTAAAACCCTAAAACCATAAAACCCTAAAACCCTAAAACCCTAAAACCCTAAGCCCTAAGGCCTAAACTTCATCGTCAGGCCATGGAGCGTGGAAGCCTGGCCGACTGCAAGCGACTTTGGCACGGATCACGACCTAAAGGGTTGAGGGTTAAGGCTGAAGCCTCAGGGTTTAGGGCTTAGGGTTTAGGGTTTAGGGTTTCGGGTTTAGGGTTGGCACGGAACAGGCCTTAAAGGCTGAAAGGGCGAAGTTCGTGTCCGACCTCCATCACGCTACACACGCCCAGCAACCTGCCCTGAGGCAGGAGATTCCACACAATGACCCCAAGCTTACACCCCCAAAGCCCAAACCCCCAAACCCAAGACCCTAGGCCCTAAACCCTAAACCCCAAACCCCAAACCCTAAACCCTAAGCCCCAAACCCTAAAGCCCCCCTAAGCTCAAAACCCTAACTTAACCTCTGAACCCCTTCAGCTTGTGAGCCTGAAGGCCCGCAGATACATGGAAAACCCAAAGGCCCTCATCCTTTAGCCCTGGTTTAGGGTTTAGGGTAGTGGCCCTGAATTGAAGCGGCCGCCGTGTCGAGTTTGAAGGACTCCGGGCGCGCTTGCTGAGGGGCTGGGCAAGGGCCTTGGAGGGTGTTAGGGGTATGGTATGGCCTTAGGGGTTGAGGGTTTGGACCCTCGACCCTCAACCCGATTCTTTGTTTGGGCTGGTTAGGGGCTTTAAGCCCCTAAATCTCCTTCAGCCCGCCCCCCCCCCCCCCCCCCAAGGTCGAGGCTGTATTTGGGGGACGAGGGTTCGCGTTCCTTAAGGCTTAAGCCCGAAATCCTAACCCTAAATCTTACCCCCTCAGCCCTAAACCCTAAACCCTAAGCCTCAAACCCTAAACCCTAAACCCTAAACCCCAAACCCCAAACCCCAAACCCCAAACCCTAAACCCTAAACCCTAAACCCTAAACACAGCGCCTCAAACCTAAACCCTCCCTAAAAATGCCAGGAACCCATCCGCAGCCCTCATGGTGCGCATCAACGGCTCAGCCGGAAGTGGCTCGTCCTTCGTAGGGTTTAGGGTTTGGGGTTCAGGGTTAGGGTTTGGGGTTTAGGGTTTGGGGCTTCGAGGGTTTAGACTGTTTGGAGGGCTCAGAGAGAGCTTCTCCAGAGTTTAGTAACTCCCCAACAAAGAACCTAGAGCCCTCTAAAGACCCTAAACCCTTGCGTCCCAAAACCCCAGGCTGCCATTCCTTCAATGCAACTCTGAACACAACAAAAGCTTCAGAGAACCCAGCAATCTCGCAAGCTCTCTAAGCTCGCCGCCCTGCAACCTCTGCATAAGCCCTCTAAACCCTGAACCCTCTATGCCCTGGAAACCTTGCAGGGTTTTAGGCACAGATGGTTTGCGAGCCGAGCAGACAGTTTAGGGGACTGGGTATTTAGGGTGTAGGGTAGAGGGTATTCTTGGATAGCAGAAAGGAATCCGCCCAAAACAGGATTGCATAGACATATTTGCGATAACCCTATAGTATTTTGGGGTTTCTCTGATTCTTTCAAGCCCAGACGCACCAATAGCAAAAACGACCACGCATTAAGCCCGGAAGCACCTAAGCAAATAGCCACACAGTCAGGCCCGAATTGCCAAAGAACAAAAGGCACACACTAAGCCAAGACGCGCCCCAATCAACAAAGCAACCACCAGTTCATCGTAGTCATAGAAAGGATTGAAAGGCTTTCCTCTCTCTTTTCTCTTCCCCTCTGGAAGTCCTTTCTTGAAACCCTTGTTGAAGCCTCCTGGCAAGCCTCTGCTGGGAGGAACAGGACTCATCATTAGCGAAATTCACGGGGGAGAAATCAAAGGAGAATGTCTGTTCTTTCGACACAAGCTTGACTCCGACGTGGGCGAAGGTCGTCAGGGCTTAGTATAGGGGTTTCCGGAAATAGGGGTACCCTTTTTGGGGGTTCTTAAGGGGATTCTATTCTGTTCAGGCTATACACGGGGTAGCCCCCCATTTTGGGAAACAGCAATATAGGGGCGGAATAAGTACTACTCGTGTTCCCTTGTGGTCCCTTTATAAATATACGATAATAACTCCCCCACAACCCGATTCTAATTTTTAAGGCCCCTCTAGAGTATAGGGGGGGGTTTAGGCTCTGGAGTGTTGCGTCTGTAGAAGGCCCGAGCTGTGCGCAACATCTCCTCGCCACAGAGGGTTTAGGGTTTGGGTGGCGCTTCTCTTGTGGCAACAGATGGTTTAACTCTTCAGACCAGTGGTCTGCAAACCCTTAACCCTAAACCCTAAAGCCGCGTTCTCGCCCCCAGCCTGTATTCTACTTAGCTTAGCCAGGGCCTTGTGTGCCTTGCGGAGCTCGGCCGCAGCCGGCCCGAACTTAACCCTAAAGCTTTCATGGTCCATGGGCTCAAGGTTTGGGGTTTTGGGTTTTGGGTGTTGGGTTTACGGTTTACGGTTTACGCTTCAAAGGCGGCTTTAGAATATGATGTACTGTACATATTTCTTGTACCCCCTTCAAGGACACCCAATGTACACACTCACCAATATTACATGGGAACCTTATACGCACTCACCAAAAACAGTAATTAGTTGATGCGCCAGTTTGAGATCTCATGCATTGATGCTTCCACGGACTCCGGCCCATACTCATGATACCCTAAACCCGAAACCCTAAACCCTACACCCTAAACCCTCAACCCCCAAGACGCGCCCAGATGTCGCCAACGCCGCCGGCCTCTCCACGAAGGACATGCAGGGGACGCCGGAGGAGATTTGGGCCCGGGGCCTAGGAGTCCGGCGCGTTCTTGGGGTTTAGGGTTTAGGGTGTGGGGTTTTAGGGTTTAGGGTTTAGGGTTCAGGGTTTAGGGTTTAGGGTTTAGGGTTTAGGGACCCAGAGGAGGACCCCCATTCCCCCCTTTTTTGAGGGTTTAGGTTCCCTTATACGCCCCTCTAAACCCAAAGAAAAAGGTAATTACCCTTTTCTTTTTTCCTAAGTTCCTCTTTTGGGTCTAGGAGTCTAGGGTTTCGGGGTTACCTAAGAGCTGGCTTAGCAGCCTAACCTGCTAGACCAAGGAGTCCTCAGCCCATTCCTAGACCCTAGACCCAAAACCCGAAACCCTAAACCCTAAACCCTAAACCCTGTTCTGCCAGTTGTCACTGACGTTCTGAGAATGGCTAGGCTGGAAGTTTTTGTTACTTTTGTCTGATGTCTTGCACTGTTGTTCTTTTTGTTTATTGCAACATGGTTACTCATGCCACCACTGATACGCCCTAAACCCTAAACCCCACATCCTAAACCCTGAACCCTAAACCCTAAACCCCAAACCCCAACCCCTAAACCCAAAACCCTAAACCCTAAACCCTAAACCCTAAACCCTAAACCCTAAACCCTAAACCCTAAGCCGACGGGTGAACCTGCGAGTTGCTCTCTGCCTCTCGAGACTGCTGGGGATTGCTTTCGAAAGCGATCCGGAAGGCTTTAGGGTTTAGGGTTTAGAGTTTAGGGTTTGGGGTTTAGGGTCTAGGGTTTAGGGTTTAGGGTCTAGGGTTCAGGGTTTAGGGTTTAGGAAGGATGGCGGGCCGTGCCGCGACAGTTTTTGTGCTCGTCATGGAGGCCTGGGGCGATGGAGACCCAATACCGACCACTACCACGGAGGCTTGATAGCCCAGAAGTACCCTTTTACCCTTTTTTGGGTTCAAGATAAACCCTAAACCCTAAACCCTAAACCCTCAAAGTAGCCAACCCCAAAAGGAGTGCCCTTATACTAAGGAGGCTCCGTGGTCGTGCGACTGCTCTTGCCACTCGAACCTTGGTAGCCCAGTGGTACCCTTCTCCCTTTTATTGGTTCAAGGTTCCTTTATAAAGAAACCAACCCAAAACAGGGCACCCTTCTTAATATATGGGTACCGGGCTACCAAGGAATGGCTACTACTGCGGGCCAGGTTGGACAGACGGTCGATGCGATTCCACCGCTTGCGACCACTCCATCCCCTACTGCTACGATGGGGGCAACGGCGACGACAACTTTGGCTGTGATATGAGCGGCGACGAAGCTGGTGCTTGCTGCAACGGCGAACCACCAAATGCATGGTTCAGCACAACAACCACAACTAGCCCCACAACTACATGCGACTGCTCTTGCCACTGGAATGGGTACTACTGCGGGCCAGGCGCCACAGACCCTCGATGCGATGCCACCAATTGCGACCACTCCATCCCCTACTGCTACGACGGCGGCAACGGCGGCGACAACTTTGGCTGCGACATGAGTGGCGACGAAGCTGGAGCATGCTGCACCCAGTCAGGGGAGCCGTGGTCGTGCGACTGCTCTTGCCACTCAAACGGCTACTACTGCGGGCCGGGTTGGACAGACGAGCGATGCGAAGCCACCAACTGCGACCACTCCGTCCCGTACTGCTACGATGGCGGCAACGGCGACGACAACTTTGGCTGCGACATGCGCGGCGACGAAGCTGGAGCGTGCTGCAACGGCGGACCACCATACCTGCCGGTTTCAAGTGAGCCCTCACTCTCTTCAGGCAAGTTGAGCTTATGTCTTGGGGGTTTAGCTGCTTCATTCGTTCTGTGACATCACTACCGCTGCTCCACCCGTTTCACTCGCGTTTCAAATGGCCCTGCCCTGAGGGCACGAAGACGAGGAGAGATCTTGAGCTTTGTAAACCCTGTAAAGCCCTAGAAACCTGAATCTTGAACCCCCTACCGAACGAAACCAGCGACGCGGTGCCATCTAAATGCACACATCACTATATATGTATATATGTATAAAGAAGCAAGTATAAATAAATACATATACATATGTATATATATATATACATATACATATATAGACATTTCCCACGCCTTCGAAACCTTCAGGCATCTGATTCTTGCATGCTGTTCATAAGGCTGTAGGTTTGAGGGTTTAGGGCTTCTGGTTTCCAGTGTCCTACAATTTCGGGTTTAAGGGCCTGGGGATGAAATTCGGGTGGAGGGCTTGCTACCCTACATTCCCACCCGGCCTGAAGATCTAGGAATCCTGGACCGGCACCCTGAAACTTTCCGGGGTAGCCCCACCCCTTCGCGGCTTCCGTCCTTGAGGGCGGCAACCCTCAACCCAAAAAGGCAATGGCTTGGGTGGTGGCTTGGGAAAGCTCAAAGCGGAAGGGAAAAACCCAGGTGCTTCAAACCTGGCACCAGTGAAAATTGTTGGGCTGCATGGGAAACATGTGCCTTCGTGACATGCCGCTCCCCAACACCCCTGGGTGTGTCGAAAGGGCGCCATGTCCACATGGTACTTGCTGCCGCTGCGCGGCGACAGGCCCTCAAACCCTAAACCCAAAAACCAAAATATCCCCAAAACCCTAAAAACCCAAGAGCCCAAAACCCTAAAGCCCTAAACCCTAAACCCCAAACCCTAAACCCGAAACCCGAAACCCGAAACCCTAAACCCTAAACCCCAGACCCCAAACCCCAAACTCCAAACCCCAAACCCGAAACCCTAAACCCTAAACCCTAAACCCTAAACCCCAAACCCTAAACCCTAAACCCTAAACCCTAAGCAGCCGATGTCGAGGCAAAGATCATGGCCAAGAACAAAGGAAGCCAAGCCCTCAAAGAGCTACTGCCATGTGGCAGTTCCGGTTCAGGGCTTTAGGGTTCAGGGGTGTATAGGTTTCAGGCTTCCCCTAAACCCTAAACCCTAAACCCTAAACCCTAAACCCTAAACCCTAAGCCCTAAGCCCTAAGCCCTAAGCCCTGGGCCAGCATGTTTGAAGATCCAAGAGGCCTGAAGCATCCCGGCCCCCTGGGTCCTAGACTTCATGTCGGTGAGGCAGGCTTCTCTTACTGTTTCTGGTGGGTGCAGGGTCTAGAGTTTAGGTAAACCCGTGGAATCCCTAAGTTCTAAGCCCCAAGCCCTAACCCCAAGCCCAAACCCCAACCCACAAACACTAAACCCTGACGCCAAACCCCAAGCCGTAAACCCCAAACCCTAATACCCGAAGCCACACACCCTAAACCCCAAAGCCCCAAACCCTCAACCGCCTAAACCGCAAAACCCCAACCCTGAACCCCCCAAACACTAAACCCTAAACCCCCAAAAACCCCCAAACCCTAAACTTTTGAGGTGGCTATGGAGGCTACGGTGTGGCGCCCACCGACCCCACCACACAGATTGCCGCTGCACAGCGCCTTGGATCCTGAAGGGGGGCACTTATCTAGCGGGTTTGGGGTTTGGGGTTGGGGTTTAGGGTTTGGGGTTTAGGGCTTAGGGTGTAGGGTTTGGGGTTTAGGGTTTGGGTTTTGGGGTTTGGGGTTTAGGGTGTGGGGTCTTGGGGGGTTTGTGGGTTTGGGGTTTTGGGGGTTCAGGGTTTTGGGGGGTTTGTGGGTTTGGGGTTTGTGGGGTTGAGGGTTTTGGGGGGTTTGTGGGTTTGTGGGTTTGGGGTTTGTGGGTTTTTGGGGATTGTGGGTTTGGGGTTTGTGGTTTAGGGTTGAGGGTTTGGGGTCTAGGGTTTGGGTTCTTTGGGGTTTATGAGGTTTCGGGTTTGGTTTTAGGGGTTTTGTCAGTTTACGGTCTGGGGTTGTGTGGGTTTAGGGTTTGGTGTATTTGGGTTTTTTTTGGTTTTGTGGGTTTGGGCTTTGGTCTATGGGTCTATGGGGTTTATGGCTTAGGGTTGCACACCGTAAACCGGCAAATACCTTGATCCTTAACCCAAAGTCAAGGTTTTAAAGGCTTTGGGGTAGATTCATGGTCCCTTAATATTCCTCACCCTCTTTGCAAGGGAAGAAAAAAGGGTGTAGAAGGGGTCCCCTTGTTGCGGGCCCATACTGGTGAAATTCCCCCTAAGATAAATACCTTGATCCCTAAACCAAAAGTCAAAATTTTGTAGGGCGTGCCCTAAACCCTAAACCCTAAACCCTAAACCCTAAACCCTAAACCCTAAACCCTAAACCCTAAACCCTAAACCCTAAACCCTAAACCCTAAACCCTAAACCCTAAACAGGCTTAGGGCTTAGGGCTTAGGATCTCTTAACAGCAGCTGCAGCTGCCTTCCTATAGCTCATGAGGATGGCAGCGGCAGCGCAGCAGCAGCAGCAGCTGGCTGTCCAGCTATACTACCAGCAGCGCCTCGTCAGAAGATGCTGGGGTTTAGGGTTTAGGGTTTAGGGTTTAGGATGTTCCCCCTTATGCTATCAGTCCTTAATCGGTATTGTAACAGGGGGTACTGTAATACATATGAAGGACTGTTAGGAGAATTAAGGGGGAACCTCGATGCAGTCGGAGAATGTTTATCGCTTGGGCTTGTAGGCGCGTTGAGGGGGTGCAGTTCAACAATTGCATTCGAAATCTTGTGCTGCTTTCTGAGCTTCACAAGCTGCAGGGTTTGGGCATAGGCAACTCACCCAGGTTGAGACCCTAAACCCTAGACCCTAAACCCTAGACCCTAGACCCTAAATGGCTTTACCTCGTCCCAAACCGATCGTATAGCTGACCCCAAGCCCCAAACACGACAACCCTAGACCAAGAGCCTTGCAACATAAAGCCAGAGATCCCCCAAAGCCCCGACACCCCAAAGGCCCGAAGAACGCAACCCCCAGTGCCCCCGAAGCCGTAAAGCCCTAAGAACTCTAAAGCCCTCAGGCCCTCGCGTCCGTAAACCTTCCCAAATGCCCCCCCCCCCCCCCCCCCAAAAAAAACCTAAACCCTAAACCCTAAACCCGAAACCCGAAACCCGAAACCCGAAACCCGAAACCCGAAACCCGAAACCCGAAACCCGAAACCTAAACCGCATGTGAGACCCCCATTGAGCCCCTGAACCTTCCTCCCATATGATGCAGGCTGGCTGCCCAGCAGGCGCGTGGGTTTCGGGGTTTAGGGTTTAGGGTTTAGGGTTTAGGGGTTATTTGGGCCTGGCATGAAGCAGCTTCCAGGTTCAAACGGGTTATTTGGTTTAGGGTTTAGGGTTTAGGGTTATTCGGGTTTAGGTTTTTGGCCCGTGTTTTGCGTGGTTGGCCTTCTTTTCGGACCTCTCGACTCTCGACACCCGTTCTAAGTTCAAATTGTCCTTCTGCGAATTGTGTAGAAGATGTATATATGTATGTATGTATGTGTGTAAAACTGTAACTATATATATATATATATATATATATATTTATTTATTTATTTATACATATATGTATATGTGTATATTATTTGTTTATTTACGTATTTACGTATTCATTATCTATTTATTTGGTTTAGGGTTTTGGGTTTAGGGTGTTGGGTGTTAGGTTTGGGGTTTAGAATTTAGGGTTTAGGGGCCGTCAAAGCCATCTAACTCCGGAGACTCCGGTTTCCTCTTGATTGAGGAAGATTCTCCCTGCGTCGTGTTGGGGTTCTAACTAACCCTAAACCCTAAACCCTAAACCCTAAACCCATCCTTCTAGCCCTCCTCAGAAGTACCCCATGAACCCTGAACCCTGAACCCTAAACCCTAAACCCTAAACCCTAAACCCTAAACCCTAAACCCTAAACCCTAAACCCTAAACCCTAAACCCACTCAAGTCAAAGCTCCGGAGGTCGCCGCGCAGCAGCTGGCCGCTGCGCAGCTCGCAGCTGCGGGGCTGTCGGTGGCTGGCCTCGGACCCTACTTGAATGGGGTTTGGGGTTTAGGCTTAGGGTTTAGGGTTTAGGGTTTAATAGGGTTTAGGGTTTAGGGCTTGGCCCAAGTTGTAATAAGTAGGGTTCGAAAGTAGGATCACTGTAGCTATTGCGGGCCACCTCCTTTTGTGTGCTACTTCTTCTACGCCAGCCCACCCATGACTATAAGGACTAGATACACCCCCACGTAGAACCCGTAAGCACACAGTCCCTGAACTTCGACACCCAGCCCTTCACTCTTCCTACGCCTTATAAGCAACCCAAACCTTAAAACGCACACTTAAACTCTAAGCCCTACACCTTAAACTCACCTAAACCCTAAACCCGACACATCAAACCCATCTAAACCGCACAACCAAAACCTTCAACCCACTTAAGCCCTTAAACCTAAACCTTAAACCCACTTACGCCTTAAAGCCTAACGCTGAAAGCTTAAACCCACGGAAACGCCGAAAAGCAATCAAGCCCTAAGACTCCCTAAACCCACTTAAACCCTGAACCCTAAACCCTAAACCAACCATAACCCTAAACCCTACCCTTTTTCTACCCTAAAGCCTAAAGCCTAAACCCTGAACCCTAAACTCTAAGCCCTAAACCCTAAACTCTAAACCTTATAAACCCTAAACCTTAAGCCGTAAACCCTAAACCTTAAACCCTAAACCCTACACCCTAAGCCCTACACCCGAAACCCCAAACCCCAAACCCCAAGCCCGCTAGCCCAGGCGGACTCCGCGGGCCAGACTGCCGCAGCTCGACCTGCAAATGCAACGCTTTGGGCGTATTCCCCTCTCGGGTTTTTTGGTTTAGGGTTTAGGGTTTAGGGGTTTAGGGTTTAGGGTTTAGGGTGTAGGGTGTAGGGTGTAGGTGTTCAGGGTTCAGGGTTCAGGGCTCAGGGTTCAGGGTTCAGGGTTCAGGCTTGAGGGTTTAAGGTTTAGACACCCAAAACCCTACCTTTCTGTGTAACTCTAGGTTCACTGAAGAAGCCATAAAATGGGGGTATTATGATATTGACCAACACAAATGCAGGTTTGGGGTTCTTAAGGGTCCCCTTATTATATGCTCCTCATCATTGCCTAGGGATCCTTAAAAGGGACCCCAAATCCCAAGGGCACAGCCAAAAGGGTCCAAGGCACAACCCCTAAACCCCAAACCCCAAACCCTAAACCCCAAACCCCAAACCCTAAACCCTAAACCCTAAACCCTAGACCCTAGACCCTAGACCCTAGACCCTAACACAACTTTAAGGGTCCAAGGTAGAACCCCTAGATTTCGTGGCGTAGGATTCATCGGAGGCCTGGTGGATCTACAGTCCCAGGTCGAAGGGTTTGGGGTTTAGAGTTTAGGGTTTAGGGTTTAGGGTTTAGGGTTTAGGGTTTAGGGGTTTCAGGAACTCCTAGGCCCTAAACCCTTCCAGGAACTCCTAAGCCCTAAAAAACCTTCCAAAACCCTAGAACCTAAAGGTTTAGGGTTTAGGGTTTAGGATTTAGGATTTAGGGTTTAGGGTTTAGGGTTTAGGGTTTTTCACCCTAACCCCCTGAGCCCCAAACCCCGACAGCACCTGCGGGGAGGATGCGCTCGCCGCCGCCGCGGCGGCAGATCCCAGCCTAGCCGCTGCGCTCACTGCCGCAGGTAGGGCCCCTATAGAACCCCTTAAAGGGTATATAATTAGAGGGCCCTAACCTATAGAATCCCTTAATTAAAGGGTGTATAAGAGAGGGCCCTATAGAATCCCTTGTAGCGGGGGCTTCTGAGTAGTAGAAGTAGGTAGTCTTCAACCCTTTTTGGGGTATGATATTCCCCTTATAATCCCAAAGGTTAACCTTTAGTTCCCTATGATTTTGGACAACCAAGGTAGGGTCTACGTGGAGATTCGTGGGTAAGTACTTCCAAGCAGGGTTTAGGGTTCAGGGCAACTATGGCTATAACCTTAGTTAGGGTACTTATAACCCTTCTCTAAGTAAGCATGAGAACCTTCAAGTAGGGCTCCCCTTTCCACTAATTCTTCCTTCAACTCAGGTCATGCCGTTTCGGGCTTAGGGGATTGGAGCTTAGTTGGTTCCTATTCCTAGCCCGAAACTTCATCTTCACGCAAGGCTTAGTTTCAGTACGCCCATCCCTCCTTGCGCAGGTGCCAATGGCTCACCGGCGCCTGCTGCAGTGGCCACAGCACCAGCAGCTTTGGGCTGTGGGGTCGCAGACCCCCTTTTGGGTGCTGGTCAATCCGTACCCAGTGAGCCAACCATGCCAGCAGCGTACCCAAATGGGGTTGCGGAGCAGTTTCAGCCTGCACCCATGACAGGGACGATGAAGGCAGCTCCCCCGCGGCCGCTGGCACCGCAGCCAGGGGTGGTCTCGAAGATGTCCGGCCCTCCGCCGGCGACGCCACCCATGTCGGCCCCACCGCCTCCGACACCCCCGCCGATGCAGCCGCCGCCCCCGCCGGTGCCCGCAGTGCCGGCACCTCCAGCTCCTCCACCGGCACCAGGACAGCCAGGCTACGCGAAGTGGCCCCCTGCGCCTCCTGTCAGACATGGGCCATACTGAGCAGCAGCCGAGTGTAGGCCCATGAGTCTCCCCGCGGACCTGAATGTGGTTCCACGGTTCCACGGTTCCGGACCTTCATCCCTTCCAAGCACCACCCTCGCAGTCTCAGCTCAGGTTCTTGAAGGTTCATGGCACACGTGTAGAAAAAGCAGGGCTTTCTAAGCACTGCAACCCCAAACCTTAAAGCCTGTGTACGTACAAGGCTCCATCTTTGTGGCTGATTTAGGGCTTTTCGGCGAATTAGGGTTTAGGGTTTAAGGGGTCCAGAGTTCAGATCGAACCCGCCCCATGTGTGAAGTTTTCGGGTGCTGGCGGATTGCACGGGTTTAGGATCAAGCTGGCATCCCGAAACCCGAAACCCTGCAAGCCTCTTCAACCCGAAAACCTTCAAAAACCAGTTTTTGGCTCGCAATGTATATAACTAAACCCCAAACCCTAAACCCTAAACCCTAAACCCTAAACCCTAAACCCTAAACCCTAAACCCTAAACCCTAAACCCTAAACCCTAAACCCTACGCCCATCCTGCATTCTGGAAAGGAGGTCCGCAGAACTCAGCAGGATGCCTTTGCAATCTGGCTCTAGCCCCCCTGAATGCATTCCAAAAAAGCTCGGGTTTAGGGTTTAGGGTGTAGGTTTTAGGGTTTAGGGTTTGCGGTTTGGGGCTTCCGACCCAACTCCCAAGGTCAGGTGGAGGTTCACGGATACCCAGAATTCGGGCCAGAAGTACCTCGAACATGCTAGAAACCGATGATAGCGGTAGTTCCACTACATCTGAATTTGCTACCTCCGGAAATCCCGTGAAAATCGCCGCCGCCAAAAACAAAGAAAACCCGAAACCCTAAACCCGAAACCCTGAACCCTAAACCCCGAACCCGAAACCCAAACCCTAGCCGACGTCAAAGGGATCCTGCCACAATGGCCCGGTAGATTTCGGAAGTCGCCGTCAGTTTCCTGCCATCCAAGCGGGCTTGAAAGGCTCTATGGGTATGGATTGAGGGTTGAGGGTTTAGCGTTTAGGGTTTAGGGGTGCATGGTCCCTTCATATGGTCCCTTACCTCAAGGGGTCTGATGTATGGGCCCTTAGGTTGCATAGGGTACAGAAGGGGTATATTAAGGGGCCCCTTTTTATGGACCCATAAGAAGGGACCATGAAACTACCCTGAAAAAGGTTCGACCATAAGAACCTCCAAACATACCTTCGAAAAAACCTTTGATCGTTAGGGCTTGGGGTTCTGAGAGAACATATAACATGTTGTTCATGGAAGGGCTTATCGGGCTTATTGATATTGGGTTTACAGGGTCTACAGGATGTTTTTGTAGGTCTTTCAAGGTCTGCGGGGTTTCGATGGCGTTTTCGGGCTTCTTGGCTGGTAGGGTTTCAGGGGCGTAGGCAAATCAAAGTCCTGAACATCCCTAGACCCTAAGCCCTAAAGCCCAAACCCCAAACTCTAAACCCCAAACTCTAAGCCCAAAACCCTAAATCCCAAACCCCAAACCCCGCGACACCCCCGACGCCCTGAACCCCAACACCCCAAGTAGTCCATGCAGCTCTGAGATGACGAAGATGGCCCAGAGGGCTTTGGGTTTGGTTTAGGGTTTAGGGTTTAGGGTTTAGGGTTTAGGGTTTAGGGTTTAGGGTTTAGGGTTTAGGGTTTAGGGTTTAGGGTTTAGGGTTTAGGGTTTAGGGTTTAGGGTTTAGGGTTTAGGGTTTAGGGTTTAGGGTTTAGGGTTTAGGGTTTAGGGTTTAGGGTTTAGGGTTTAGGGTTTGGGCTCAGGCTTGAGGGTCTCATGGTTTGCAGTTTTACGTCTTAAGGGATCTGAAAGACACGCCGTGGCCTATAAGATCACAGTGCCATCGCCGGCGCGGCCGCGGAAACTGGGGGGATACTGGCTTATGAGAAGATCGCGGAGGTCCCCCAAACCTCCCCCCAAGAGGGGTTCAGGGTGTAGGTGGTCTCAAACCCTAAACCCTAAACCCTAAACCCCAAACCCCAAACCCTAAACCCTAAACCCTAAACCCTATCAAAGTCCCCTCTGTGGGGAAAGCTCGGGAGACCTCGTGAGGAAGGTGCGCACGCAATGAACGTGGCATGCAAGGCAGCTGCACGCAGGAACCACAGTTTGGCATTGGCCGCTTCTTGCGCTTGTGCGTCCGCGACGAGTGGAAAAGTTAATGTTGCTAGTTAGAGGAAAAAAGTCTAATTTCATTCAAGAGAAAATTGATTTGTTTTATCATTAATCATAATCGAATATGATTTATGAATGAATTTGCTGGGTCTAAAGGGCCCGGGGTTCCGGGGTCAACAAAAACTCTTAGAATCATCCACAAAGGTTTAGGACAACACTTCTGGTCTTAAATCATGATTTTGCAACCTTCAACCCTCAACGTTAAGCCTGGAGGGTCGAGACTTGGGATGTTCACCCTTGTGCAAACAGTCCTTAATAGGGGTTCTAGTAGGGGGTACTATAATCCCCATTCAAATGTAAGGACTGTTAGTATAAGGGGGAACATCCCTAAACCCTAAACCCTAAACCCTAAACCCTAAACCCTAAAAGACACATGCAAGATGAGACGGCGCCGTCGCGAGGCGAGAGGCGAGAGGCTCTTAGTGACCAGCGCTCGGCAAGTTGGCGCAAAAAGGGGCAGGGGCATCCCGTGCTTTGGGGTTTAGGGTTTAGGGTTCAGGGTTTAGGGTTTAGGGTTTAGGGTTCAGGGTTCAGGGTTTAGGGTTTAGGGTTTTGGGTTTAGGGTTCAGGATGTCTTGATCAAGTTGTTTGTTTGGGGCGGGGATAACCTACTAACAACGGGTGGGAGCTGGTGGTTGAAGGTTGGGCTTCAAGCTCCCTAGCGCTGGGCACTAGGGTTCAGGGTTCAGGGTTTAGGGTTCAGGGGTTAGGGTTTAGGGTTTAGGGTTTAGGGTTTAGGGTTTAGGGTTTATTGGGCAGAGGCTGTCAGTGGACCATGAGTCCTTCCTGCTAATGGGCTACGCTGGTCCCAGTACACAAGAAAGCGCCCCGTTACTCTTAAGCTACTCTGAACCCTAAACCCTAAACCCTAAACCCGAAACCCTAAACCCTAAACTTGGGTTCGGCCGGTCCACACTAACAGTCAAATAACGCCGTGGCCTTATAACACACAGGCCAAAAATAGCACCAGGAATCCCAGTCAATTTTAGCATTTACCGGGTGCTTCTTTTTGTGGGTCTGCTGGTGGTGACTGTTAGTCACATAGCAGCAGAAATAGCACCAGAAATAGCACAAACAATAGCACAAAAAATAGCACCAGAAATAGCGCCAGGAATAGCACAAAAAATAGCACCAGAAATAGCACAAACAATAGCACCAGAAATAGCACCAGGAATCCCAGTCAATTTTAGCAGCTTAGCATTTACCGGGTGCTGTTTTTTGTGGGTCTGCTGATGGTGATTGTTAGTCACATAGCACCAGCAACAGCACCAGAAATAGCACCAGAAATAGCACAAACAATAGCACAAAAAATAGCACCAGAAATAGCACAAACAATAGCACAAAAAATAGCACCAGAAATAGCACCAGGAATAGCACAAAAAAATGCACCAGAAATAGCACCAGGAATAGCACCAGGAATAGCAGGAATCTCAGTCAATTTTTTGGCATTTACCGGGTGCTTTTATTTGTGGGTCTGCTGGTGGTGACTGTTAGTGTGGACCGGCCGAACCCAACCCTAAACCCTAAACCCTAAACCTAGCTTAGATATGAAGATGGCCAGTAGTACCCTGGTGTCTGTTTCTTGGCTCACTTCCCTATAATAAGCCCAAGTAAACAACAAGGAGCCCTAAGCCCCAAACTCTAAGCTGCTTGAAGCCCCCTAAACCCTAAACCCTAAGCCCTAAGCCCTAAGCCCTGAGCCCTGAGCCCTGAGCCTTAAGCCCTAAACCCTAAACCCTAAACCCTAAACCCTAAACCCTAAACCCTAAACCCTAAACTTCCTAGGCGCTTGGGGTTTTCTGTGTGGGCTTCCGGGGTATGAAGCCCAAGAGGGATTGCTGATGCTGCCTAGCACCTTCGAAACCGGAAGGTCATTAAGTGATTCGGTGTTAATGTTCTGGTTTAGGGTTTAGGGCTTAGGGCTTAGGGTTTTGGGTTTAGGGTTTAGGGTTTCGGGTTTCGGGTTTAGGGTTTAGGGTTTAGGGTTTAGGGTTTAGGGTTTAATGTTAAGGTTTGGACGTATCGAAATCGAAACGTCGGAATTCAGGTTCGGAGTTTTGGGCACTGTAGGGTTCGGGTTTAGGGTTTAGGGTTTAGGGTTTAGGGTTTAGGGTTTAGGGTTTAGGGTTTAGGGTTTAGGGTTTAGGGTTTAGGGTTTAGGGTTTATGGTTATATGAAAGGGTTTTAGCGTGGGGGGGGGGGGGTGGTACCTAAGAAGCCTATAGGGAGCCTGGGGGAGTAGTGGGAAGTACTAAGGAACTCTGGGTTACAGACCCCCCTTGAACCCATAATCATTGGGTTCATGCAATATGCCTGCGTCCTCTGGAAAGCTGGCTCCCTGGGCAAAACCAAGCGTCTGTTTCGGCATTCAAAGAAGTTATGTGTGGTTTGAGCATTGCATCGAAGGGCGTAGGGACGACTCTTTGAGGAGGCTGTGTCAAGTTTCGGCCCTTCTGCCCGCCGCGACACTTCATGCCCAACAGGAGGCGCATCCGCTCGGCAGACCGTCCCCAGACACTCGACCACCCAAGTCTTAGGGTTTGGGGTTTAGGGTTTAGGGTTCCAACACTTTGGTTTGCCGAGGTTTGCCCTAAGGTGCGTTTCAATGCCGTAGAGCTGGAGTTCTCAAATCGCCTTGAAGGAACTCAAACCCACTCACTGCCCGCAGGGTGGGGCCTGCAGAGATGAGGCAGGGGGGAAACATATAACAAATAAGTTGGACCAATTATTTTAAAGTTATATGCTGTATATATCTATATATATATATGTATATATACATATATGTACACATATACATGTACATATACATATCCATATACATATACATATATATATATATACATATATGTATAGCCTTCACGGCCATAGCCATGCTGGTTCTTCTTGTGATCCTCGAAAGCTGTTCACACCAGCAGCGCGACATGTGTTGCACATGATGTCTTGCAAGCGACGTTGCTGAACAGCGGTGCTCACCGAATGCAAATAAGCAAATCCCAAACGGACCAGACCACGCTTGTCTTCACCGAAAGTACATGCGCTTGTGATGCACGAAGTGATTCCTGCAGACCGAGACATGTAAGGCATGTCTCGAATACTGTGTACAATTTTCTGGGGGGGCTTCGCGTGATCTGATGCGTAATGCGTGGGATGCGTGTCAAACCCACGCTGCCCAAAACCCTAAACCCTAAACCCTAGGCCCTAGACCCTCCCGCCCCGGGAGCACATTTCTGAACTCAGCTCCCCAATAACCTGCGACCAGGCGCATCCAGGCCCCTCCGACTGCTTATGTGCTTTAGGTTTACAGGGTTTAGGGTTTAGGGTTTAGGGTTTAGGGTTTAGGGTTTAGGGTTGAGGGTTGAGGGTTGAAGGTTTAGGGTGGATGTATCAGGATTTGCTTCAGGAACTCAAAAATAGACACATTTCCTTCAAGGGAAACTACAAGTATAACATGGTAAACTTAGTTTCAAACCCTAAGCCCTAAACCCTAAACCCGAAACCCAGATGCACAAGATTAGGGTTAAGGATTTAACTAGGCTTCGAGGCCCACCAAGCGCTGTTTTGTGCCTTTAGGCTTTTAGGGTTTCGCGTTTGGGGCTGGAGCTGAGCTTAAGCCGAATCCGTAAGTTAGGGGAAGGACGCTCCAAAAGGGACCTTATGATTGCGCCCTCGATCCAAAAACCCTTGTACAGGCAGGAGTTTAGGGTTTGGGGTTTAGGGCTTAGGGGTTTGGGGTTAGGGGTTTAGGGTTTAGGGTTTCGGGCTTCGAGTTTAGGGTTTTGGGGCTTCAAAAGCCCTTCACCAGAAAAGAACCCTAAACCCCAAACCCGAAACCGTAAACCCTAAGCCCTCGCAAGGTGCCCCCATCTTGACCCCGAAATGATCCTAAACACTATATTACATAAGAGGGTTACATTAGGAACCCTTTCAGGGTACAAGTTACAAGCCTAGAAGTTCGGAACCAAACGTAGGCGGAGAGCCTATAAGCCCGAACCCTACGAACGGCATAAACCCAAGAAAACGTAAACCCCCTAAAGCCCCTAAACCCTAACAACCCTAAAGGGTTTAGGGTTTAGGGTTTAGGGAAGCCCTATGAACCTTAAAACCTGAAAGCCTTAAACCCTATGAACCTCGAACCCTTAAAACCCTAGACCCACCCTAAACCCTAAACCCTAAACCCTAAACCCTAAACCCTAAACCCTAAAAACCCCAAACCCCCCCATCAACCATAAACTCCAAACCCTATGAACTTTAAACCCTAAGATCCCTAAACCCTCTGAACCTTGAACCCTAAACACCCTAAACCCTATGAACCTCGAACCCTAAAAACAACCCTAAACCCTGAAAACCCTAAACCCAATCAACCTTAAACCCCCACAAGCCCCAAACCCTATGACTTTTAACTATGATCCCTAAACCCTCACTTTAAACCCTAGGAACCCTATGCACCCTGTCTTTGGTGTGAGCATTTGTCGCCGCGCCAGGTTCTTGCCCGGGCCGTGGTTCCTTCCCTTGCCCCCTGGCGGCGATGGATGCGTGTGTGTGACAGAGCGTGCGAGCGAGAGAGTGTGAGAGAGTGAGAAACAGAGAGAGAGAGAGAGAGTGAGTGAGAGTCAGAGAGTCAGAGAGTCAGAGTGCTCGTCTTTGTGTGTGTGTGTGTGTGGTTCTGTTCTGTGGGCTTTCCAGTAGGCGGTTTAGATTTTCGTTTTCTGGGCTTTGGGGTCTGGGGCTTCCGTGGTCGGCTTAGGATGCAGGGTTCTTGGGTTTAGGGCTTAGGGCGCCGATTTTTCGCTTGTGAGGTTTAGGACCTAGGGTTCTCAGGTTTGGGATTTCGGGTCTAGCCCTAAACCCTAAACCCTAAACCCTAAACCGTGCTACGGAGCTTCAAGTCGTTTCCGGTGGGGCGGGGGGAGGGGGGGGGGCATGTCATCTCAAGACCATCTGCTGCTGGGGTTGGGGGGCGTGTTTTCCGATACCTTCAGCACGCCTTGCATAAGGCATCGAAGCCGTACCCTTGACCCTAAACCCTAAACCCTAAACCCTAAACCCTAAACCCTAAACCCTAAACACAGATGAGTTTGAAGTACTGCGCGCATGGTTTGGGGATCTTCGTCCAGCTCGGAATCTGCGAATCTTCATCCCCAGCACTTTTAGGCCCCTGAACCCTAAGCCCTGAACCCTAAACCCTGAACCCTGAACCCTAAACCCTAAACCCTAAACCCTAAACCCTAAACCCTAAACCCTAAACCCTAAACCCTAAACCCTAGGATAGAAGCAAGGTCCTGGCTCCCTTGACAACGTCGGGCTACCTGCCTCGGCCTCGCTGGGGGTGGTGTGTGGGGACTACAGGTTTAGGGTTCAGGGTTCGGGGTTTGGGGTTTTAGGGTTCGGGGTTTCGGGTTTTAGGGTTCAGGGTTTAGAGTTCAGGGTTTAGGGTTTTAGGTTTCAGGGTTTAGGGTTTTAGGGTTCAGGGTTTAGGGTTTGGAGATTCAGGGTTCTCGGGTTTCCGGGAGGTTTTGGGGCCCGGAAGCCTTTTCTTGGAGGCTCATGGGTAACTTGGAAAAGGATACTTGAAGGTTCATAGGTTTAGGGCTTAGGGTTTAGGGCTTAGGGTTGAGGGCTTAGGGTTTAGGGGTAAGGTTATCACCCCCTGAACCTCCAAGTTGTTACAGCGAATTGTGACCCTTGCCTGGGGCCAAACCCTAAACCCCAAGCCCTAAGCCCTAAACCCTAACCCCTAACCCCTAAACCCTAAACCCTAAACCCTTTCTTTTTTCCCTATACCCTAAACCCTTTCCCCTATACGTACATCTTCCAAGCACGGTTTAAGGTTTCAGGTACACTGGTGTCCCCGAGCGGGCTGTCCCTCACGGCAGGGGGCACACACTTCTTGGATTTGCCCCAAGCACCATCATCTTGAGCTGTCCCTAAACCCTAAACCCTAAACCCTAAACCCTAAACCCTAAACCCTAAACCCTAAACCCTAAACCCTAAACCCTAAACCCTAAACCCTAAACCCTAAACCCTAAGCCCTAAGCCCTAAGCCCTAGCCCTAAACCCTAAGTGCCAAAGTAGCCCAGTAGATGCGCTTGGTAAACCTGCCGCGTTAAGAATCCAGACGCGAGGCCTTCGGGCCTTTAGGGTCCGGGCTCTGGGTTTTTACGTCGTCTCTGACTTCATGAGGTCAGCATACTTTAGGGTTTAGAGTTTAGGGTTCAGGGTTTACTTCAAGATGGTGGAGCCTGCATCCCCATGTCAGGGTTTGCGAAAGTACCACAACATAGTCCCCAAGAATAGTAGGATTCCTTCCAAGGACCCCAAAAAGGTACTAGTATCGTGAACCCCATATCATCTGAGGGTAGTTTCATGGGCCCTTCATTTGGTCTCTTACCTCCTTTGAAGGGTTCTGATGTAGGGGCCCTTAATTTGTATAGGGTGTATAAGGAGTGCCCTTTTAAGGGACATAGTAAGGGACCATGGAACTATACCCCCACTAAAACCCGAAAACCCTAAACCCCCACTAAAACCCGAAAACCCTAAACCCTCAACCCAAAGGCCGAAACCCACAACCCTAAACCTAAACCCGAAATCCTTTCGTAAATCCCATATCAGGTGGACAGGTTCCTCACTGCTGCCGCGCATCTCCGCGGTTCTCTCGGCTGGAAATTGATTTGGTTGGAGGTGCTGCAGTTTGGGTTTAGGGTTTGGGGTCTAGGGTCTATAGGGTCTAGGGTCTTAGGGGGTATGGTTTAGGGCCGTTAGGGTTTATAGGGTTGAGGGTTTAGGGGAATTTCAGTGGTTTCGGGGCTTGGAGGGTGGGCTGGAGCGCTTGAGTTTTGTCTGACAGTTTCGGGCTTACTTACCGCTCTGGAAGTGTCATGCATGCCCAAAGCCTATTCGCAGTCGTGACTGCTATTTCTAGTACCCCCCAGACGTAACACCCAGCTTTCACTCATATATATATATATATATATGTATATGTATATGTATATGTATATCCATGGAACCCTACATACACCTGTTGAATCCACAAAGAGCACACTCTGACATCTCCCCTTGCATGTCCAGCGGGCAACGGCCTCCCGAGTATTCGACGTTGCGACATGAAGCGGAAGTGTCCCGCAGATGGCTCACATGCGGTGCGTGTCTGGCAAGTTTCCGGGGAAGAGCTCGCCACCGTTTCAACTGAGGGGCTGAAGAACATCCAAAGCCTGAAAAAGCATCTGCGAGAGCATTGTGGACTGCCCACGTTCAGGCAGAGGCTCTTGCACAAGGGCAGACAGCTGGAAGACAACGACAAGGTGACTGAGCCAATGGACTTGCAGCTGGTGATGTTGCCGTTCGTTGACTGTTCCGCAGAGCAGGAGGATGAACTAGTAGAGGCAGCCTGGAGCGGACAGACTGAGCAGGTTGAGCAACATCTGCAGCAACGTCAGAATCCAAACTGCTTGGGCGACCATGACGGGATTCGGGTCTCGCCAATAGAAGCCGCTGCTGAACGTGGCCATGCCGATGTGTTGCGCCTGCTGCTGGACGCGAGAGCCGACACTGAAACGCTACTGAGCTGATGTTGGCAAAATCTTGGGGGGGAGATCATGAGAGCACATTCCGCTACGGTGAAAACATTTAATAAGAAAGGGGCGTTCATCGGATTGGACCCTGGAAATTTCTTGTTGGGCATTCCGGGAAATAGGAAAGATGAGATTGGTTTCAGGGTCTGGTAGAATTCTCAAACTCTAGGCTTGGAGGGCTTGGAGGGCTCAGGGTTGGAGGGGCTCAGTCAGGGTTGGAGAGCTTAGGGTTCGAGAGCTTCGGGTTCGAGGGCTTAGGGTTCGAGGGCTTAGGGTTGGAGGGCTTAGGCGGCAGGGCTTAGGGTTGGAGGGCTTCTAATGCGAAGGCTTAAAATCGGAGTCCAAGTTTAGAAATCTGCCTTAAACAAGACCCTGGCTTAAGAAATGGAGCTGTGCTCAGGGTCTAATTTCTTATTTGGAACGATTTCTTATCAAATGCGTTCACCGTACTGCTTGACTTTAATTTCTCAGCTAGACAGGCATGCTTCACTTAAACCTGCAAAACCCATGGCAAAAGATCAAGGCTTGACGTGGAGAACGAGCCCGCCCTTCACTTAGCCACTCGCCGCGGTCATGTGGAAGTGGTGCGTTTGTTGCTAGAAGCTAGGGCTGATGCCGACGTTCCTTGGGACCTTTGGGAGGACAGCCCGCTGTCTCCTTCGCCTACGCCGCTATCCATTGCATATGACAGCGGCCACATGGAAATTGTGGGACTACTGCTCCAAGCCAGAGCTGACGCAAACGATGCCTGGACGGTCGGCGGCAGTTTCGGCCACTATGGTCCGCGGCCACTGCTGTATCACGCGTGTGAAAGTGGTGATTTGGATCTTGCGGGTTCGCTGCTACAGGCCGGGGCTGATGTGGATGCGCGCGCCAGCCCATCGCGTGCTGGTGACTGCTGGACATACCAGCCTTGGCCTTTGCGTCCTCTCTGCGCGGTCTTGCGTGACGGCCACATCGATATGGTACGACTGCTGCTTCAAGGCCGCGCAGACCCGAACGAAGATGAAGACGAAGACCCACCGCTCTGCAAAGCATGCTCTAGTGGCTCCCTTGAGAAAGTACGCTTGTTGCTGGAGGCCCGCGCAGACGCGAATGCACCGATTCACGATGACTGTTATGGGCGAGCATCGTCCCCGAGCCACCCTTTGTGTAGGGCGGCTGAACATGGCAACGTGGACGTGGTCCGTTTGTTGCTGGACTCTCGAGCCGATGTCAATGCCGGAGTTCTTCAAACTTCTGTCCATGAAGATGGAGAATCTGAAGGCTCTGCATGCAACAGGCGTGTGTCATCCGACAGAGACAGAGATCAGCCTCTGCGTGAGGCATCAAGACGTGGCAACTCAGAGATGGTTCGATTGCTGCTGGAGGCCAGGGCCAATCCCAACAAGCCTGGCTGGCGACCACCTCTTCTGGAGGCCAGGGAGGCAGGTCGTGTTGAGATCGTGCAATCGCTCCTGGAGGCCAGGGCCGACAGCGGCGCAGCTGACAAGGCGGAGGTTGAGATTCAGGGGTTGCTCGGCATGGCAAGAGCTGCAAGACGTCCGAGTCCCTCATCTTCGACCTCGTCATTTTGACCGCCCATGCTGCATATGCACAGGTCAAAATGATGCTCCCTTTGAAGGGTGCCCTAAATTATTAGGGGCCGTTTTGGCATAGAGGGACCCGAATGTAGCGACATGACTACTCCAACTGGGCCTTGAAAGGGCTCCAAAGCTAAGGGCCCTAAACCCTCAACCCTACTTGCAACTGAAGATGCAGACTGCGACATGCCCTTCAGTGCCCAGATCCTTCAACACTGCTCGGCTTTCGGGTTTAGAGTTCAGGGTATATTGCCTGAGCCCAAGCTCAAGCCCCTAAGACCCTAAAACCGAAAATCCCTGTTGCCCTAAAACCCTAAACCCACAAATCCGAAACCCTAAAACCCCAACCAACCCTAAAACAGCCCTAAAACCCTAAACTTCTTGGCAGTGGGGGAGCCAAGCCCCAGCCCTCAAGGCATCGATGACCGTGGCAAGGTGTGCCGCAGGTGGCCCACGGCTGGATTTGGAGAAAGAAGCTGAGTTTAAGTAATTTCAGGGTTCTGGTTTAGGTTTTATAGGGCTGAGGGTTTAGTGTTTAGGGTTGGAGAAAGAAGCTGAATTGAAGAGCATCAGTATTTTCAGGATAAGGGTTTAGGGTTTAGGGTTTCGGGTTTCAGTCGAATTTGGGAAGCACTCCCAACATCCTTAAGGGCTCAGGGGTCAAGTTTAGGTGGTGTGGCATTGTGGCATTGTTATTTGTGGATGTAATCGAACTCTGCAGTTGCGAATCGCACCACTGCTTCCTTCCTTTCAAGGAGTGCAGTCCCCAAGAGAATCAGCCATAGCGGGGTTTAGCGTTCCGTAAACCCTCTGGCACTTGTTAGCGGTTTGCTGTTTCCTGTTTAGTTAGGTTAGCCTCCACGCCCTTAAGGGGGGGGGGGAGGAAGTGGCAGGCCCATCGTGGGACTTGCCTTGAACTATTTCAGGCTTTGGGCTTACTGCAGTGCAGCCGCATGTGTCAGAACCTCGCAAAGTCACATGGTGTCTCTTTTCTAAACTTTCTAAACCCTCAGCTCTAAACCCTAAGCCCTTAACCCCTAAACCCCTAAACCCTGAACCCCTAAACCCGATAAACCCTAAACCCCAACCTCTTCATATCTAGGCGCCCCCGAAGGGGTCCCAGTTTACAGCGCTGGCCCGCGCGATTTTGTGGGGTTTAGGGTTTAGGGTTTAGGGTTTCGCCACCAGCGAAGTCTGAGCCCTCGAACTCTCTCGCGGTGTAAACCCCATGTAAAGGCTTTAGGGTTCTAGGGTTTTAGGATTTTAGGGTTTAAGGTTTAAGGTTTAGGGTTTAGGGTTTAGGGTTTAGGTTTTAGGGTTTAAGGATAAGCTTTGAGAAAAACAGCCGTCTTGTTTCACCATGCCGCACCATGCACTCTCACATCTGACACCTCGCTCCAGCTGCAAGCTTGGACCCTAAACCTTGGGCCGTATGTATACTCTTTAAGGGATTAGAGAGGGCCGTCATTCCCTCATTCCCCACTAAGAACCAGCCATCCTTTCCAGTTGTTGGGGGACGTTTCGGTTCGAGAGAGCAGTGTAGTAGGCGTAGAAGCGAGTTGATCCTGGCTTGATGCAATGAGCCGGAGACTTAGCTAAGCCGACTTGCATCTTCCACTTTTGCTAGGGTTCGTGGCTTTGCACCCTGGGAGGTACGAAGTAGGGCTAAATATGTCTAAGTAGGGTTTAGGGTTTAGGGTTTAGGGTTTAGGGTTTAGGGTTTAGGGTTTAGGGTTTAGGTTTTAGGGTTTAGGGTTTAGGGTTTAGGGTTTAGGGTTTAGGGTTTAGGGTTTAGGGTTTAGGGTTTAGGGTTTAGGGTTTAGGGTTTAGGGTTTAGGGTTTAGGGTTTAGGGCTACCCTACTTATCACCCTACTTAGAAGTGCCCATGAACCTCGAACGCCCTCAGCCCCGACCCCTGCACCGATTAAGCCCAAATCCAAAGCCCAGAACTGCAGTAGTTATTGGGTAACTTAGGGTTTCAGGGTTTCAGGGTTTTAGGGGTTTATGGTTTTATGGTTTTTGGGTTTAAGGTTTGGGGCTTTAGGATTTGGGGCTTTAGGGCTCGCGCAAAATCTTTAAACCGTATGCTTCCTGGCCAGGTGGTGGGGACGCGTGCGGCAAGGACGAGGTGCACGGGACCAGCTAGGAACGTTCGCGCGCGGTGTTTTGCTTCGGTACACAAGCCCCCCCCCCCGAACCCCAAACCCCTCGACCCCTAAACCCTAAACCCTAAACCCTAAACTCACATCAACCCACAAATTTTTGCCTAAAGCCCTAAACCCTAAACCCTAAACCCTAAACCCTAAACCCTAAACCCTAAACCCTAAACCCTGTGTAGGCCTCAGGGGTTCTTGTTACCCCCCCCATCCTCCCCTAAACCCTCAGCCCTCTCAAGCATGAGGACACTGAAAACACCGTCAGCTGCGCTGCAGCACAGCCCTGATCCTTCAACCCCTAAACCCTAGACCCTAAACCCTAAACCCCAAACCCCCAACCCTAAACCCTAAACCCTAAGCCCTAAGCCCTAAACCCTAAGCCCTAAGCCCTCACCTTCAACCGCAATCGCCCTTCTTGCAAGGTGGAACTCGCCAAGGAAGCCGCAGAGGGCAGGACCACCTTCCCTCCGAATGGGTTTAGGGTTTAGGGTTTAGGGTTTAGGGTTTAGGGTTTAGGGTTTAGGGTTTAGGGTTTAGGGTTTTGGGTTTTGGGCTTGGGGCTGCATGGCTTAGGGTTTGGGGCTTAGGCGCTCTTTGTTGTTCTGTGTGAGTTGCTGTTATTGGTGAGTGTCTTTTGGATGTCCTTTTCGGGATACTCGTCATTAAAGAAATACTTTTTCGAACTATGCAAGACTATTGTCATGCGGACGCATGCCACAGACCACCGGGCATCACAAGGCTACTTTGCCTCGCCCAGGCAGTGGCCAAAGAATGGCACTCCAGATGAAGTGCAGAAATTCAGGGTTTAGGGTTTAGGGTTTAGGGTCTAAGGGGAGTAGTAGGTTTCTTTGCAGTGCTTCCTGTGGTGTTGCACTGCATATGAATCGGATGGACTCCAAATGTGCGTCCACCGCTACACCCGAAGCTAACCCTAAACTAAACCCACCCAGACCTTGCACCCCAAAAACCCGGAAACAAATCCACGGTTTCAGATTTGTTGTTTTTTTTGGGGGGGGGGGGGGGGGGTTCGGGGTTTGTTGGTTTGGGTTTTCAGGTCGGCTTCTTCATAGGAAGCTCCTCCCAAATTCAGAGATCTGCCCATGAAGTGCTTTCCAGTTTGGGGTTTCGGAGATAGTGAAATTTCGGCACGCAAACCCCCCTGAAACTGCCCCTAACACCGCGATCCGTGCGGAAGCCCTTGCCTTGCTCAGAGGAAACTCAAATTCAGGGGATGCTAGACTAGCAGGGGTTGGCGACGGTGTAAGCAGAAACAAATTAAAACCTCAACTACAGCCCAAACCCTAAACCCTAAACCCCGCAGCCTGAATTTTGCAGGACGAAGGACACTGCGCCCGAGACTATCTTTGACAAGATCATTCGCAAGGCATTGAACCTCACGTGTGGGCTGCGTCGTGTAGGAGTTGGGGTTAGGGTTCTTGTAGTACATGGGCTGCAGTGCAGGGTTTAGATTCAGGGTTGTTTGTTTGGGTCAACAAGCGTATCGTTGTTGAGTGCGCACGAAACCCTATGGACCCTTAGTTAGCCCATGTTAGCCTTAAATCCCTAAAGGCCTAAACCGCTAAACCCAAACCCAGAACATTAAACCCTAAAGCCACCAAACCTACCCCCCTAAACACAAAGTCCTCTTGGTCCATGAACCCCAACCCTAAACCCTAAATCCTCAACCCTCACATCCTTGTCCCTTGCAGGAGATTCCGGCCAAAATCGTGTTTGAGGACAGCGCCGGGCTTTGGGCCTTCTAGTGTCTTAATGCCAATGCAGGGTGACTACAGTAAGGGTCGGAATAATTACTGTTCGTATTCCCTTAGGGCATAATTATACTATCGTAACCGCCGAAACCCTATTCTAATTATTCGGGCCGGTCCCTATAGCACACGTTCTCCAGCCTTAAAGGACGTCCACGAGAAAGTTGTGTGCGCGGAGAGCCTAAGTCTGTAACCAGTGTGCAGGACAAGCGCCCAAACCTACAATGCCTTGCGATGCCATCATCAATATGTACAGGCTTAGGGTCCTAAACCCTGAACCCAGACCCTAAATCCTTGTAAGCCTTCTACCCAGCTAAAGCTGAAACCAAAGACCCTGAACCCTAATGCAATCCCTAAAGCCTCAAACCCTGAATCCCAAGTCAATCCCCAAAGCCTAAACCCGAGCCCTCAACCATATCACCCCGCAGCTTAAACCTTCGTGACCCTTCTACCCCTAGCAACCCTCACCCTCAAACCCCAAACCCTTTAAGCCCGAGGCCTGCAAGCCCTAAAAGGGCACTTACAACCCTACTTGCAAATGCCCGTAAGGCCCGAAGCCCTAGACCCTAAGCCCCAAAACCCCAAACCCTAAACCCTAAACCCCATAATCCTAAACCCTAAACCCTACTTATGAGCCTTCAAGTACTGCCCTGGCGGAGGACGATCGTGCCCTGGCCTTCAGAGACGTGAGCCCACAGGTGGGTCAGCTCTTGGTGCAGTGTGGAGTCGGAAGCCTTGGAGGGGTTTAGGGTTTAGGGTTTAGGAAATTAGGGTTTAGGGTTGAGGGTTGAGGGTTGAGGGTTTAGGGTTTAGGGTCTAGGGTTTAGGGTTTAGGGTTGAGGGTAAAGAACAGAAAAGAGCCCTAAACCTTATGTATGACAAGCCCTAAACCCTAGTAGGGTTTAGGGTTTAGGGCTAAAAAACCCTAGGGTTTGGGGTTTCGGGTTTGGGGTCTAGGGTTTAGCAACACCGAAACGAAACTTGATGACAAACCCTACACACCCCCGTAGACCCTGCAAGCACCCTAAACCCTAAACCCTAAACCCTAAACCCTCCTCGCCGAAGCCTGGCCGCGATCCAGGCGCCTGTGCACGTCCTGGTCATCCCAAAGGTTCGGGACGGACGATGCCTCAGGCTTTAGGGGCTTTAGGGTTTAGGGTTTAGGGTTTAGGGTTTAGGGTTTGGGGTTTGGGGTTTGGGGTTTGGGGTTTGGGGTTTGGGGTTTAGGGTGGGTTAGGGGTTTATGGTTTGGGGTTTAGGGTTGGAGTTTAGGGGTTTCGGGGTTAGGGCTTTGGGGTTGCGGGAGTGGTGGCTTTAGGGCTTAGGGATTGGTAGCTTTCGGGTGGTGTTCGGATTTAGTGTCGCGGCCTGAATAGGGCTCAGGGTCGAGCTTGAGCTTTGGTTGAAGATGGACGGGTGTAGACTGGAAGGTTTGAGTTTGGTTGTCGGTAGAGTTTGCTCCTGTTCTGGAGGTTGTTGGATGCATTGCTGGGTTCAGGAGGATGTGAAGCAAGCATTTTGTTGAAGCTCTGCTTATAAACCCTAAACTTGGGATGTTCCCGCTTTTTCAAACAGTCCTTAATAGGGATGAGAATAGGGGGGGGGTACTATATCCCTATTAAGGACTGTTAGTATAAGGGCGAACAACCCTAAACCCTAAACCCTCAAAAATGTTCAGGACCATTTGGCGATAGCTACGTATTTGTGGTACTTGCACGTACCCGAAGTCAGCTCTAAACCTTCAAACCCTAGACCCAAACCCTAAACCCTAAACCCTAAACCCTAAACCCTAAACCCTAAACCCTAAACCCTAAACCCTAAACCCTAAACCCTAAACCCTAAACCCTAAACCCTAAACCCTAAACCCTAAACCCTAAACCCTAAACCCTAAACCCCAAACCCTAAACCCTAAACCCTAAACCCTAAACCCTAAAACCCTAAACCCTAAACCCAAACCCCAAACCCCTAAAACCATAAGCCGTAATATCCCAGCCCTATGAACCCGTACGCCGGCAAACCAAAGCCCTGCCTAAACCCTCAGCCCTATAAGCCCTATAGGCCCTATAATTAAGCCCTATAAGCTCTAAAAGCCCTATAAGACCTACAAGAAGCCATGTAAGCCCTAGAAGCCCCCATAAGCCCAAGAGACGCCCTAAACCCCAAACCCCAAACTCCAAACTCCAAACCCCAAACCCTGAACCCTAAACCCTGAGGTCTCACGCAGCTCCAGAACGCACGAGAAGACCAGGAGGCCCCAAGTCAGCACGTAGTCCAGGGCTTCGGGTTTTGGGTTTCGGTTCGAGTTTAGGGTTTAGGGTTTAGGGTTTGGGGTTTGGGGTTTGGGGTTTAGGGTTTAGAGTTTAGGGTTTAGGGATTCGAGTTTAGGGTTTGTAGGGTTTCCGGCTTCCGGTGGAGAGAGTTTAAGGGTTTAGGGGTTGATTGGGGTTTGAGTCGGTTTGAGGTTCAGGATTTAGGGTTTGATTAGGCTGTAAGGTTCAGGTTAGGTAGGGTTTAGAGTGTCCCATGGAAGGGTGGCTGGTGCCAGAGGAACCTGCGCCAAGCCCCAAAGGCTTCGGAATTCTAAGTCTGGAAGCTTCCAAGCTCCGGAGAGACCCTCGAAACATCTCAACGCCTACATCTCGAATCTTGAAGGCCAGGGCACGGGGTTCTGTCGCGTTTCACGACAGTGGCAAAACCCTCAGCCCTAAACCCGAAACAGCCGGGGGAGGGGTCCAAAAGGTGCCATTTTCGGCACCGAGTCTATTTGAGCACCCAACAGTTCAGATGCTAAGGCCTAAGCCCTGACCCCCGAAACTCCGAAACCCTAAAACTTACAGTAAAACTTAAAGGGTTTAGGGTTTCGGGTTTAGGGGTTTTTAAGACGCAAACCCCAGAGTCCTAAAATCCCGGCGAATCCTCAACCCCTGGGCCCTTAAAGCCTAAAGCACGCTTCCCTGCATGCCAAAAAGAAGCCCACCCCTGACTCCTAGGATGCCCAGTAGTACCCGTATTCCCTTTTTGGGGGGTTTAGGTTCCCTTATAAAACCCCTTTAAGCAAAAAAGGGCACCCTTTTTAAGCCTTGGTTACTGGGCAGCCTAGTGACGTTCCAGTGCAGCTTCGTGGCTCGAGCCTTGCGCCTGCCGAATTTCCTTCGGCTGCTCGCCGGTGCCAAAGCTGCAAGTAGGGTTCAGGGTTCGGGGGTTCAGGGGTTTAGGGTTTAGGGTTTAGGGTTCAGGGTTCAGGGTTCAGGGTTCAGGGTTCAGATTTAGGGTTTAGGGCTAGTGTCAGTGTCTTTTGGATCCCGGGCTTGGGGCTGAAGGCTAAGGGTTCTTTTTAAATCTGAAATGATGGACGATGGAGTCTGCTAAATGGGGGTTTCCGAAAATGGGCCCTTTTGGGGGTTCCTATGAGAAGGATCATACTTTTTTGGGGAATATTATGGGTTACCCCTATTTTGGGAATCCCCCAAATCACCGGGGAATGTAGGGATGAGCACAATATGCCTCATCCTACTGATATCTACCTCTTGAGGGTCATATTGGCACTTTGAGTCCGCGGGCTCACATACGTAGTAGGATTCCCAGTGGTGCCAGGGTTCGGTTCTCTTGCGTTGTCAGGTCACTGGGCAACCTAGCTGGCTCTTGGGCGCATAAAATTTAAGCAACAAAAGCCTTAACCCTACCCCTAAAAATGTCTATACACTTTTTGCAGATAATCCTAAACCCCAAACCCTATGTACTTCTTATTGAGAAGTGATGATTGCATGTTTGTTGGGCTGAAAGTCCAAAAAAACCAAGCGTTCGCTCCTTAAGTACTTCTTGTGGAACTTTCGACTTTTTCAACCCTCTAAGCCCCAAACCCTTTAAACCTTTAAACCCTTGAAACCCCTTTAACCCTTTAACCCTTTAAACCCCTTAAGCCCTTTAAACCCCTTGAAACTCTTCGAACCCTTTACACCCTTCAAAACCCCTAAACTACGAATCCTAAACCGCAATAATTCAGGGGCCACTCGTAAACCCAACGTCGCTTTGCCCCGCCGAAGGCCCGCCCGAAGCATGGCCTGGCTCCGCCAGGCGCCGCAGAATCTTCAGTTGGGGTTTAGGGTTTAGGGTTTAGGGTTTAGGGTGTAGGGTGTGGTTTAGGGTTTAGGGTTTAGGGTTTAGGGTTTAGGGTTTAGGTTTAGGGTTCAGAAGTTTAAAGGGCTTAGGGCTTAGGGTTCAAGGAGGTTCTGGGTTTTGGGGGTTGTTGGTTTGGGTCTTTTGTCGTCGGGTTTTGTAGGGTTTGGGGTTTAGGGCACAAGGCTGCAAGCTCATAGGGGTCCCGGTTTGACTTCGGAATTCCCAGCCTCGACGTCTGCAGGGCGATCTCAGGGTCGGCCGTGCTAGGGTTCAGGGCTGACGTCTGAAGTTTGAAGGTGAGGGTTTAGGGTTTAGGGTCTCGGGTTCGGGTTTCGGGCATAGGATTTAGGGTTGAGGGCTTCGGGCATAGGATTCAGGGTTGAGGGTTTAGGCTTTAGCAGGGTTTAGGGTTTAGGGTGCGCGGTTGAGGATTGTAGAATCGAGTTTGCAAATTTTAGGGTGAGGATGCACCGCTGCGCTGTTTTGAGCCGCTCAAAGCCTGACTCGAACAATCCGCGACGTCCCTGTGTAGCCACGGCTCGGAACATATGCCAGAAGGTTCCCGCCGAAGCCACGGGCGGCCAGAAGCCCATGAACTCCAAACCCTGATAAGCCCCGAACCCCAGACCCTATATAAACCCTTTATAGCCCTAAACCCTGAACCCTGAACCCTAAACCCTAAACCCTCAAGCCGGGAGGCATGGAAAGTCCTCGCCTTCTGTTGCCTCTTGGGGCTCCTGGAGGTCGAGGCTTCTGCGCATCGGCTTCGGTGAAGTTTTGGGGTTTAGGGTCTAGGGTTTAGGGTTTAGGGCTAGGGTTTAGGGTTTAGGGTTTAGGGTTTAGGGTTTTGGTTTTTGGGTTTTGGGTTTAGGGTTTAATTAGGGTTTAGGTTTAGGGTTTAGGGTTTAGGGCATAGGGCACAGGGCATAGGGCATAGGGCTCAGAGTTTAGGGTTTCGACACTCTTCGCTGGGGTGTGCCGAAGGAACCCGCACAGGCTTTGGGTCCAAGATTCTGATGGGCAACCCCTAAACCCTACACCCTCAACCCCTAAAGCCGTAAACGGTGCAAGCGCTTGAAAAGACCCAAAGCCACATAGACTACTCCTATCCACTTACATCTAAAAGCCTGGCGCCTTAAACCCCATCCTGGTTTCAGGACTCATTGAGTCCTCGAGGCAGAAAATAGCGAGTCGAGGTCAGGGCTGAAGGTTCAGAGCCACGCTGACTAGGATTCGGGGTTGAGGGTGCATAGGGCTTAGGGGGAGGGGGGGGGGTGGGCCTTAGGGCTTGGAATAAGGGAATTAGGGAGGGGGGTGGAGGGGGTGCAGGGGTAATGGACCTCTATTTCATTTTTTAAGGGCGTGTTTGGACCTATTTAGTTGGCCCTTGATCCCCGCCTGATTTGGTCCTAGCTTGGAGTGCAGGCCGCCACAGGTGGCGAGCTCAGGGTTTAGGGCGTAGGAATGTTTAGGGTTTAGGGTTTAGGCACAGAGGTAGCCTCACCAGATCTGCTGAGGTATGCCAGCAGCTTGAAAGCCAGAAGTATAACACTCCACTTACTGCATGACCGAAGCTTCGTGAAACTATCGCCGCCCAACTAGCGTGCCCTTAACCCTGTAACCCTACACCCTAAACCCCTAAACCCCCTAAAATCCCTGAACCCTAAGCCCCCTAAGCCCCCTAAACCCTAATCCTAAACCCTGGTTTTAGGGTTTAGGGTTTAGGTTTTAGGGTGTAGGACCTTATAAATCCGAGACCTGAAACCAAATGCAGGTACGTCGGTAAGCATCCATTCCGCGCAGGCTCTGAAGACCGCCAACACACAGGTGGAAGCAGCTTCTTTGAAAAGTTCTAGGGGTTAGGGTATAGGGTTTTGAATTGTGGGGGATTTGGGTCTTGGGTTAAGTGTTTAGGGCTTAGGGTTTAGGGGGTGGAGGGATTCAAAACCCCCGAACCTCAACCCCCAGCGTGTTGTCGGGCTCGAAGCTTTTGGGGTTTAAGGCTGCTTCTCAGCATTCCGAAAAAGTTTCCGAATCGTAGGCCACCAGGTGTTGGGCTCAGGGTTTAGGACTGCCGGCCAGACCTTTAGGGGGAATCTTTCTTACATCATCAGTTGAAGATGGGGCATAATGATGGACTAAATCCCTCTAGAAGCCTACATCTTCATGATCCACGGAGATGTGGTGTCTTTAGGCCCCCTCCTAAATCCGCTAGGGCTTGCGTATACAGACTTATACAGAAGTGTCTTTCAATCCTGTTGTGCAATGCACGAGCAGCTCAAAACCTATCCCCAGATTGCCTCTTCTTCCGTTTAGGCGTACCCGCTTTTATTCAGCCGCTTCCCTCCCCTTCCCTCCTCCCCCCCTCGCCCCGGCCCCTTTCCTCCCTACCCCCCGCTATATTTCGAAACCCTAAACCCTAAACCCGAACATGGTGTCTAAGGTTTTTGGGTTTGCTTTGGGGTTTGCTTTAGCTGTCAGCCTTGGAGGGCTCCTATAGGGTTGCAGCACAACCCTAAACCCTAAACCTGGTGGAATTTAGGGTTTAGGGTTTAATTACGGTTTAGGGTAACCCGAAACCCTAAACTCTAAGGCCTGTCTGGCCGGCTCTGGAGGCACCTAGCTGGTTCTTTGGTATAAAACGGGGCTTTATGGCTTACCAGGAAGAAGATTCACCCCAAACCCTGAAGGGTTTAGGGTTTCGGGTTCGGGTTTAGGGTTTAGGGTTTAGGGTTTAGGGTTTTGGGTTTTGGGTTTTGGGTTTTGGGTATAGGGTTTATATAGGGTTACCCTAAACCCTAAACCCTAAATTCCACCAGGCTGCGCCAGACTCATCTCCTGCAGCATCCTTGGCGGATGCGACCGCGAGGGCTGAGAGGCCGGCGCAGCATCGAGTCTGGTCACTCCCACGCCGCAAATCTTGGGGTTTAGGGGGTTTAGGGGTTCAGGGTTAAGGGTTTTGGTGTTTGGAGTTTAGGGTTTAGGGTGTGAGGTTTGGGGTAACGGGATTTCGGGTATCTGGTTTTAGGGTAACGGGTTTGAGGGTTATGGAATTTGGGGTTATGGGGGGTCTAGGGTTACGGGGTTTAGGGTTACGGGGCTGAGGATTATGGGGTTTAGGGTTACGGTGTCTAAGGGTAGAGGGGTTTGGGGTGACGGGGTTTAGGGTTTTGGGGTCTAGGGTAACGGGGTTTAGGGTTGCAAAGTTTGGGGTTGTATAGGTTTTCGGGGTTATATGGGTTACGAAATTGGGGTTCGGCTTCTGCTTCATGATCATGCAGTAGACTCTGAATGTCCGTGGGCATCAAACTCCCTCGACCTCACCATTAAGGCTACACCGTCGGCATCCCCAAAACCTTCACTCTTTGCCGTCAACGGGGAGTTCTTTGTTATGAATGTCCTCACACCTGAGGTTCATCTTCGACATGTCTCAGGGAAGCACCCCAAAAATCACGGCGCCCTAAATCCTAACCCCCTCACCCTTATCAAAAAAACGGCCCCACAACACTGCACCCGAAACCCTAATGCCCTGAACCCGGTAACCCTAAACTCTACACGCCCTAAAGCCTAACCCTACTAAACTCCAGCCCTGCGAGACCCCAAACCCTACTGCCAGAAGAAAAACCCAAACAATGCACCCGAAACCCTAAACCCTAAACCCTAAACCCTAGACCCTAGACCCTACACCCTAGACCCAACCAACAACAAACATCCCCCCCAAACAATGAGCCTCTTTCCTTCCAGTGGCTTCCACTCGGCGGCCTCTTCCCTCCTCTCCCGGCCGGGTGACCCTGAATCCGGGCTTGGCCTCTTGTTTTTTTTTTGATGGGGTTCAGGGCTTAGGGTTTGAGGTTTAGGGTTTGGGGTTTAGGGATTGGGGTTTAGGGACTGGGGTTTGGGGTTTAGGGATTGGGGTTTGGGGATCAGTTCACACATGATTGCCGTCGGGAATCCACCATGGAGTCCCTACCACGGAACCGGGGAGAGTGTACCTCTTGGTGTGTCTGTTGAGGGGGACCCCTGAGAAGGTCTTGGCTACGGGGGAGGTCCCTGGTCGCACTGAGCTAGAATCTGGGATCCTCTACCCACGCTACTCTTGCACTTCCTTTTCCCAGGTTTTGTGGACCGTAAGCCCTTGCCGCGCGTTTCTGAAGCCCCCACAGACGCCCTGAATCTTCAAGGTTCGGGTAGGTCCCAAAATGCCTGAGTTGCGGCTAGGTGCACTTCTGAAGCCTACTTTTCAGTTTCCATGAAACCCTAAACCCTAAATCCTAAACCCTAAACCCTAACCCCTAACCCCTAACCCCTAAACCCTAAACCCTAAACCCTAAACCCAAGTCCAGCCCAAAGACCCTCTCTACTCCCCCTCTCCCCCCCAGGATGAGAAGCGCCGGCAGGAGAATCGCCAGTCGAGGCGCCCGCGGTCGGGAGTAAAGGGAGCCCTGTGAGAGATTTGGGGTTTAGGGTTTAGGGTTTGGGTTTAGGGTTTAGGGCTTAGGGTTTAGGGTTTAGGGTTCAGGGTTTAGGCGTTGAAGATCAAGGGTTCGGGGTCGTGCTTGTGTTTGTGCCCTTTTGTCTGTTATGTTGTTTATGTTGGGGGTTTCGTGTGATGCAAGGCGCAGCTCGACCCCAAAACCCGACCCTACAGCCCAACGACTCCATGTTTTTTCGAAAGCTGCCCTTGTTTGAGGTTGCTGCAGCGCGAAAGTCCTCAATGCTTCTCGACTAGTTCTCAGATGGTGATGTTGTCCGAACCCGTTACCCTTTGTGGCTCGAGCAGCATTCCCTTGAACTACATCAGGTGCTTGGGTTCTGAGGGCCTCAGGAACAGCTTTACTTACCGTAGCGTCACTCTACCCGACAGTTAGTTGCGGGCTGGGCCATGGCATTTGCGAAGACTCCCGAGGGCATCCTCACAAAGAGTGAGTACGACACCCCGATCGGGAAGCTGAAGTTTTTTGACGGCCTTCCCGATGAGCAGACGGTGCCGCTCGTCCCAGCAGGGGCCCCTTTTTCCCTTTTCTCTGAATCAACAGAGAAGTTAGTTAGTTCTTGTTTTAGTTTTTCCCTTCTTTCTTTTTGTTTGGGGGCGGGGGGGGGGGGGGGGGGGGGGGGTCCGAGGTTCCTTATACCATTTTTGGGAAAATAGGGTGTAGGGTTTATAGGGTTTTGGGGGTTTTTAGGGTTGTTATGCCCAGAAAAGGGGCCCTGTTTTTGTTAGAGGCAGAAAGTCTATGACCCTAAACCCTAAACTCTAAACCCTAAACCCTAAACCCAAGGCAGAAAGTCTATGACAATCTGGACCTCTCGAGGGCCACCCATGCTTTTTTGAATCTCATTCCAATGGCTTCAATCGAGGCTTGGAAGCCTAGTGGTACCCTTGTGCCAAAATTCTTGTTAGGGTTTAGGGTCTAGGGTTTAGGGTTTAGGGTTTTAGGGTTTAGGGTTTAGGGTTTAGGGTTTAGGGTTTAGGGTTTAGGGTTTAGGGTTTATAGGGCCCCTTTTTTTAGGGTTCAAGGCACCCTTCTAAAGCAACCAAGCCTTTCAAAAGGGGACCCCATATCTTTGTGGCGCTTTGCTGTAACTTTAGATCCTTAGCCTTTTTGGGTTTATTGGGTTTCTTAATAAGGCAGCTAAAAATTAAATTTACAGCTACCCTGCTAAGTGCAGCCAAGTTGTTGTGATATGGCTACTGGGCTACCAAGGAGGCCATGAGAGCTGGCTTTGTTGACGTTGGCTGCGATGCCTGCCACAAGGTGACTGTATTCCCCTTGGGAGATTATTTGTTGTTATTTTTGTTTGTAGAAAGATATTTTTGTTAAGGTTCTAAGGGGAGTATAGCCACAAGGTAACCAGGTAGGCTTTTGGGGCCATTTTATGTCTTCCCCTTCTTTTGGGTTTAAGAGGATCATGTTCAGGAATATTTTTTCAGGGGGTAAACCCTAAACCCTAAACCCCAAACCCTAAACCCTAAACCCTAAACCCGGTTCTAAGGGCCATCCAAGGTGATACTCTTCCAGGGCCTCATGGACAGCCATTCCTTGTTCTTGACGGGCAACACGGACACCGTCTATGTGGCTTCCATCCTCAACCTAGAGAAGGACTGGGTAACCCTAAACCCTAAACCCTAAACCCTAAACCCTAAACCCTAAACCCTTACTCCAAAGTAGAGAAGGACGGCCCGACAGTGATTGATGTGCCTGGCGGGGCGGGCCCCGGAACTGTCAACGACGCCTACTTCCGCTTTGTGGCTTTCTTCTGGCTGGCCCTGAGGGCTTTAACTTTTTGGGGTTTAGGGTTTAGGGTTTAGGGTTTAGGGTTTAGGGTTTAGTTTAGGGTTTAGGGTTCAGGGTTTAGGGTTTAGGGTTCAGAAATGAGCCAAGGCTTTGTGGCGGACATGGGTAGACCTGGGCCTGACAAGGGAGCAGGGGGGAAGTACCTCATCGTGCCGCCGGGCTATGACGCTTGGTGGCCCCTAAACCCTAAACCCCAAACCCTAAACCCTAAACCCTAAACCCTTAACCCTTTTTTTTTTTTGGTTCTGGGTTCCCTTATAAAATAACCCCCTAAAAAGGGTGCCCTTATGACAGTATGGTTGCTGGGCTACCAAGGACGGCAAGCTGCCGGAGGGATACTACATTGCCCATTCCCCGAGTTATACGAACTTTGTCGTCAACCGAGGGTTTTTGAAGGACGGGCGCCCAGATTACTCCGCGAAGATGTGGAAAGAGGGGCTGAAGATATATCCTCTGTCACAGGAGAAGAGCCCACCAAAGATGGAATTCATCAACGTCTCCGGAAAGGCGATGAACACCATTCATTCCAATGACTTCCACTTCTTCCAAGAGATCAACAATGTCACTTGCTCGCCCAGTGGTACCCTTTTCCTTTTGTGGCTCAAGGTTTCCCTTGAAAAGTCACCAACTCCAAAAAGCTTCGTCGGTTTTGGGAGGTTGTTTATTTCCCTCATTGGGCTTTAAGAGGATTCATATTCAGGAAGATTTTTCAGAGGGCTTTAGGGCAATCCTGGGAAGGGTGCCCTGATTATGAGATGGCTGCTGGGCCAGCAAGGTCATCCAAAGGGAGCCCATCGACGTTCTCGACCCCGAGCTTCGTGGAAACCTCATGGCCATTGGCATCAAGAGACTTGCTGGAAGGCTCATGGATACCTCTTATCCCTAAACCTTAAACCCTAAACCCTAAACCCATTCAGGAAAATCTTTTCCGTGAGTCGGCCCGTCAAGGCGCAGGGATGAAGTTGCAAGTGCCCTAAAATCATGGCAACAAGGTGGCAACTCAGTAACCTGAGTTCCCCACCTACTCATAAGGGAGTTTACGAAAAGAGGGGACCCCCAGTATAGACCCCCAGATAGTAGGTTTTTCGCCACCGCACGTAGCTGGCACCTAACCCTAAACCCCAAACCCAAACCCCAAACCCAAACCCCAAACCCCAAACCCTAAACCTGAAGTCCCAAGCTTCAAAAACCCCTCATCCCCAAGAAGGCACTTCAAACCACCCCTACCCCCTTAACACGCCTAACGCCGTAGTTGCAGTTCTCTACATTCGGGTCCGTTTTTGGGGTTCCTTCTTAGTACGGCACCTTATACAAAGGAGGCCAAAAACGGAGCCCTCGTTGAGAGAACTACCATCCTTATCAAACCCTAAACCCTAAACCCTAAACCCTAAACCCTAAACCCCAGACCCTAAACCCTAAACCCTGAACCCCCAGACTCTACACCGCCTGCAGTCAGGAAAGGCCAGCCCTTCCAGCCGGATCAGCGAATGACGAAGCTGCCCAGCTGCTTTAGATCTCCGCGGCTTGAGCTGCCAAGTGCAGCTTGGTTTAGGGTTTAGGGTTTAGGGTTTAGCGTTTAGGGTTTAGGGTGATGGGTGATGGGTGATGGGTGATGGGTGATAGGGTTTAGGGTGTAGGGTTTAGGGTTTAGCGTCAGTGCTGGTGAGAACCAGCAGGCTGAGAGGTGGAAATGAGTGGAGTGGCATGTTCCCTCAGATCAACATTCCCAGCCATGGCCCTCACAAAGTGCTGGAGCTAATCTTTTCACAGAGAGCGAAAGCAAACAGACAAAGAAAGTCTTGAAGTTTGTTGACTACTACGTTATAGGCTACGGCATCGAAAGTGTCATGCTGTACAAGATGTCTGAAAATGTTGCATGCTCAAGGCTACTGTTCGGGCCTAGAAGCAATGGAAAGCACAACAAGTTTGGCTACAGCTAGACATGTGCAGGTACTACACTGCAATGGTTAGGGTTTTGGGTTTTGGGTTGTGGGTTTTGGGTTTTGGGTTTACATCGGGTTTTGGGTTTTGGGTTTTGGGTTTTGGGTTTTGGGTTTTGGGTTTTGGGTTTAGGTTTTCGGGTTTAGGGTTTAGATGGCTTTTGGGTTTAGGGGTGTTTGGCTTAGGGGTTTTGGGGTTTAGGGGTTGTAGGGCTGTGGGGTTTTGGGTGTATAGGATGTAGGAAAGTGCGGCTTGTTCCCAGACCCTCCAAAAGGACTGGCGGTTCAAGTAGGGTATGCAATCGGAGCCAAAACCAAAGGCGCAGGCAAGGGGCCCATACATTTCTCCCTAGGCCCTAAAACCCTTAATTCTATTTAGGGTTTAATTAGGGTTTTGGGTTTTGGGTTTTGGGTTGAGGGTTTTTTTCAACACATTCTCTGCCCCAGAAGGTTGTTGACGGATGGCGTCGCGATTGGCAATGCAACAGCGCGGGCAATCTGCTTTGCGCCCCGCTTGGCCTGCAAGCGCTACGACGAGGAGAGGGTTAGGATTGACTGGTTCTTAGCACGGAATGAAGGGATTGGGTGCTCTATATTCTCTCTGAAAGGGTATTCCTTCTTTCCCTGCCAAGAACCAGCAGATGAAGGGTTTAAGGTTTAGGCATTAGGGTCTACAGTTCCCAGGGGCGATGGTATTCTGGTAGGGTTTGGGGTATAGGGTCTAGGATTAGGGTTTAGTGTCTAGGATTGACGGTTGGGAGAAATTGTGTAATCTTGTCTCAAAACTTTCAAGCAGATGGGGCTTAAGGGTTTAGTTGCTCAGGCTTTGCGGTGCAGGTCTCTCATAATCAGGCTGCTTGTAAGCTTGGCTGATATGGGAAGCCTCAATTCCCTTTTCTTCGGGCTTGTAAGCCCCTTAAAGCCTTTAAACCCAAAAAGGGCACCCTGGTTATTCCTCAGTTTCTCTTGGGTCTAGAAGTATACCCTTACGTACCCATGAGCCGCAAAGTGGATCACACTGGAGGGTGGCGAAGCCCTAAAACCTAGACCCTAAACCCTAAACCCTCCAAAGGACAGCGAGTGGCAAAACATCTTCGGGGCTGACTATCGCTGGTTGGACGACGGCGCAAGACAACAAGATGCCAGGACCAGGCTTGCGCCTTACGGGGTTCTTCAGA